AATTTACCTCTGAAGAATTTGAAATTATGTCACTGAAGAATTTGAAAATGCCGCGTGTTTTTTTTGTGAATAACTTCGTGTCACATATTGACCAATCAGATTTAAGGATTAGCGGTCAGGCAGTTTCGAGATATCTCGATATAAAACAACTTCCCGTTTCGTTCATTTTTAGTAAATAGGAAAATAATAAGATATACTCCAAGAAATCCATATTCCCCAATGTTAACTGCTGCTGACCTAAACATGGCCCAAAATTATTTTAACAAGAAGAATTTATTCTTTTAGGAGCGTATTTCTCCAGGCCAGTCATTATCAAGAAGTCCAAGTCCACCTCTAAATATTATAATTATGTTGAATTATGGAATGATTATATTACATATGACCTTGAATGAACTCCATTGACAATTATTAACCTTCAAAATTATTCCAAATTATTATACGTTAGAAAATCTCGAATTTGAAAAAATTGAAAAATAATGAAGCGTGTTCATTTAAGGTCATATGTAGCATAATCATCTCATTATTCCACATAATTATATTATTTGGAGATGAACATGGACCACCTGGGAATGACTGGCCTAGAGAAATAAGCTCCTAAAAAAATAAATTCTTCTCCCAAGAAAATGATTCCTTGGCAAAAGTAATTTTTTTTCCCAGTCTGTTTTTGGTATCTTGAGAAATCGGAAATCGAATATTTCTCTCAGAAAAATGAAAAGTCTCGTGCCCCAAGGCTTTTACGGTACTTCGCGCGCAAAATGTTCAGTCTCTCGATGGAAGACTTTACATTTCGTGGAAAATTAGGCAATCAATACATTTCGATATTATTCTGGGTGAATTTGTATCAATCTACAAAATTATTACTGAATATAGAGGTGAGAAAAACAGACGGGGTAACAGAGAAACTCCTTCAACTTGGAATTTAAGTTCTAATATTATAAAAATTATAAAATATGTTCATTTCCGTGGAATGTAGGTATAGAGTATGACAATGATTGAGGGATAGTCAGAGAAGTTGAAAAAGTATAAGATTTAAAAAAAAATTCTCCTTAAAAATTGAATTTTCGAGCTCCACAAAACGAATCGTATTTAATGAGGCCATTATTTTGTTTGACATATTAAAAAATTAAATCATTGCCCCTGGCGGTGGAAATTCATCAGAGGTGGTTGGGGAGTATGAGAAAAAAGTCTGATGACCTCAAAAACATCTCGCGACCAATTGTTACCCACGCAACGTAAATTCGATACACGGACGGAAAAATTTAATAGAAAAACTTATTCTTTTGGAACTGTTGAATTTTGAACTGTTCTATGAGTTTTTGGCCGATTCTATTGAAATGTTCAATAGAAAATATTCAGTACAAAAAGTCAATAGAATTCAATCTTTTTATATAACTTATTCTATTGAGATATTTTCTACAGAATTTCCTCGGCTGAAAGTTTCTAAATTTTTTCGTTTGATTTTTTTGATGAAATGAAAAGAAAAAGAGAATGAAAAAATCTTGAAAAATTTGAGTCGAACAAATTCTATAGAAAATATATGAAAAGAATAAGTTATATAGAAAAATGGAATTCTGTTGACTTTTTCTATTAAATGTTTTCTATTGAACATGTCAATAGAATCAGCCAAAAACTATTAGAAAGTTTATTAGAAATTCAATAGAATTTTTTAACGAATTAGATAGGTTTTTCTATTAAATTTTATCGTGCGTCTAATAATCGAGAGATTTGAACGTTCCGTGCACAAAGTACACTGTTAAAAATTTTCGATGGAATTTTCCGCGACAAATCCTGGAATTTTTTATCGTGTTTAATTTCCACGGAAATTTCAGGAAATAGTTTCATTGAAAAATCAAATATTCCATCAATTTTCTGTTCGAATGATCTGAAAATCAATAAAATACTTGATTTTTCAGTTAAATTATTCCATGAGAAGTCAGAAAAATCCGAAAAATTCAGGGAAAAATTGAAAATTCATGTCAGTTTGTGAGTATTCATGTTCCATTGAAAATTCAATGAAATTGTGAAATTTCCATGTCACTCCCACTGAAAACTCATGAATTTCTTTGAATTTTACCTACAACTTGAAATTTTTGCCCTAAATCCGATTCAACGTCACTCTCATGGGAATTACTATCATATTTTCCATGAAATTTCAAAAAATTTCTAACAGTGTACCGTAAAAGTCTTGGGGCCTGAGAATTTGCATTTCTTTGAGGGAAATATTCGATTTTACACTCTCATAACGCATGTAATTATTGTATTCAGGTTCAAGTCGACAGTCCAGACGATCACGACAGAACTCGTGAATTTGTGTGGCGCAGATCATCGCACATCGCCCACTTGGTATCGCAGAAGCTCTCGTCTGCGACGAGATCAATGCTCCGACCACCACCTGCAGCCGCTGCCTAGATCTCCAATTAGTACTTAATCCGCCATTAACTTAATCATTCGTATTTATTCATCCTATTTATTGATGGAATTATTCATTCGTAGATGGCTGGGGACAGCTGCTTAAATGACTGTACATAGAGATTTTTGAGGAAATAAAATATTTTTACGATTTATTTATTTAATAAATATTGGGGTCTTTTAATTATTTGAGGTATATCCCTAGAAAAAAGGTTTTTCTTGCGATTGTCCTCATGTTTTTCATAAGTAACGTTTATAAGATTGTCCAGCTATTGAAACAAATTCTAACGAGCTGCAGTACACACTTTAGGAGATGATAAATAATGATTAGAATTTTTTGTAAAATTTTCTGGCACATAGTTTCTGCGATATTCAACTCTAAAAATTATATCCGCCCCTGAAATTAGTAGTAATAGACCAAAAAAGGTCAGACCAAAAGGGGAAAGGGAACTTTCTAGTTTAAAAAGCGCCCTCTTCAATACTCTCGAAAGAAAAGGATCGGCCGTAGGACGCCCTGTATAGCCTTTTCTATAAATATATTTTCAATAGAAATTCCTCGGCTCAAATTTTCCAACTTTTTTCATTTGATTTACATTTGATGAAAAAACTAAAAATTCATGTGGAGGAATTTCTACTGAAAAGGTCTTAATAGGAAAAGGTGTATAGAAAGATGAAATCCTACTAATTTTTCTATAAAATAATTTTCATTATAAATTTTCTATAAAGAAACGGATAGTAAAACTGCGGCATTCTTCAATAGAATCAGCCAAAAAATTATAGAATTTCCACTAAAACTTCAACGGAAAGCTAATAGGATTTTCTATTGAATTCGTTACGTGTTTCGATGACTTTTTCGTGGGTGACTCCTTAAATTCAGAAAATTTATGAAAAAATCAACTTCAAATCGATTTCATTAATTTTTTCATAGTCTCTTTCGAACATTTGTTTTTTAAATGAAAAACTAGTATTATTGTCCATTTTTTCATACATAAATTTCTTTTTTTGCGTATAATTTTTCAACACATCCAAAAAGAAATAGGACCGAATACTGAGGCTGATATTTCAAACATGAGGAATTGAAATTGAAATTGAATTGAAAAAAAACCTGCTATTCCCGTAAATTGACACGCATCAATAAATTTCATACAAAGAGCTAACAAATTCGCTAGACAATTCTATTGGATTTCTATTGGACTTTCTATTATTTTTTGGCGAATTCTATTGAAATGTTCCAAGTTTTTTTTTCAGTTTTCTTGATGAAAAAAGAAGAGAAATAACATTTTTTAAAACTTGGAAAATGTGAATTGAGTAAATTCTATAGAAAATATCTCAGTAGAATAAGTTATATAGAAAAATCGAATTCTATTGACTTTTTGTATGGAATATTTTCAATTGAACATTTCAACAGAATTCGCCTAAAATTAATAGAAAGTTCAATAGAAATCAAATAGAATTGTCTGCGAATTCGCTAGGTTTTTCTATTAAATTTCGTCGTAGGTGCAGTCGTAATTCGTCTGAAGGAAAGAACTAGTGATACAATAGATCGAAAAAATTCTCATAAAAATTTCGGTATCATGGCTAATCACCGCATAGTCAATTCAACACAACATATTTTAACACATTTGCAACTCAACACATAGACAATTTAACAGATCGGGAACTCAACATTCAGGGATTTCACCAGATGCATTTCTACACAAATAAATTCAACACAATGCTCACTCACTACACGTTCCCGCCCTTTTGTCATCAACTTGTCCTCATATTCAATTCTCTCCAGGTTCATGCCTCTTTTCTTCTTTGTATTTTCATAATAATTACTCGATATTTTGACATCGAGTTTTATTATTATTTATTAAAAAATGTTTGGATCGCTTCGCTTCCAAGTTTCTCTCTCTCTCTAAAGAATGCAATGTGATTGTATCATTATTATCTAGCCGTCTCATTTCGTTATAAATATTTCGGAAGCCATTCACATAATCTATGATATTCTCACCATGACTTTTAAATATACTGTCCTGCTCAGCTTTGTATTTATTGACTGTGCACAGTGGATCAAAAATTGCGCGCAGTTTATTTTCTAATTCCTTCAAGGATTCAACTTCTGAAAATTCAATAGCTACTCTGGCAAGACTTTCAAATTTCTGTCTCAATAGTATTAAAAATGCAGATGTTTAAATCTATGCTGATGAAGTATGTCTATGTGTTGAATTTGATCCATAAGTAAAAGATCCGTGAGCGTTACCAGGCTTTTTTCTTTGGTTTCTATGCTCAAGCTCTTTTTCCTGTTCTATGAACCATGTATATAGTACAATCTTTAGAAAGCTCATTAAATGAGTTCCAAAGTGACGTCTGTTTCATCCAATTCTGACCATTTTTCATTGAGTTATGAGAGTTTTAGGCGATAAGTGAATTTTCATGTTTCACTTGAAAAATTAACTTCGGATGGATTTTTCGATGCTTTCAAGTGGCTTAAACAAAGATATTTATACATCATTTTGAAGAACATGTACTGTTTTTCGAAATGGTGTATTAAAAATGCGATTTAATTGGATTTTCATCAATTTATTACAGTTTTTTTCCATTTTTTATGTTTTGTCACACCTAGAAAATGACAGTTTTTGTAATTTATCAAGGGTTTATACTTAATCAGCGGGGATATATCATATATCAATTCAAAGGTTTCATTGGGATCTTCAAATTGATACCTCATATTATTGATTCCAACCATTAGATCAATTGTTACAAGCGGTAATGCATCGATTTTGGCATGTCACGTTTTGAAAATTTCCATTTTTTTTCTATAAACGATGATATTTTCTGTTTTTTTCTTCAAGTTTGTGGGAATATGTTATATATAATTCAAAGCACATTGAATTGCCTTCAAATTGACCCCTGAACTATTTAAGTACAGCCAAGTTTGATCAACTTATAGGAGATTTTATCTAAAAGTGGAATTTCTTGACTTTTTTCTGAATTCAGATTAGTTCGCATTTTTCAATCACTATCGTTGAAGTAAAGTGAAGAATTCGTACATCATTTTGAAGAGTATTGTTAGTTCTTCAAAATGGTACATAAAAAATCTGATTTCGTGGAATTTTCATCCAATTATGGTAGATTGTTTCTATTTTTTACTTCATGTCACACTTAAAAAATCATAGTTGCTAACAAATAATGATGTTTGGACTTCACCAGCAGGGAGGTATTATATACTAATTTGAAGATCTTGTCGAGATCTTGCAATTAATACCGTGTTTTATCCATTCCATCCAATAGATAAATTCTGATAAGCAATAATAATTTGATTTTGGGATATCACGCTGCGAAAATTCAAATTTTTTCCTCTTCGTGAGGAAAATTTCCTCGGTTATTTTCGAAATCTGTGTAAGTACCTAATGCTTAAATATGGAAATATTACATTTACATTCAAAAAATTGACACCAAACTGATGCCCCATTAAAAATGCATTGATATTTTCCATTTTTCGAAATCATTTATTGGTAATGATGAAGCTTTCGATTCGATCCGTCAATTTGTATGACGAATCGATTTGAACATCGTTATCATTTGTGAAGTTGTCAGGAGAATGAAGTGAAGTTTCTGTTTAAAGTTGGTTTATAGTTGGTTAATTTAATTGTCACAATAATTATAATTATTTCTGATATAAATATTAAAACACGATTGAAATATAATAAAAAAATTGACATAATGTAGGATCACGTAGTTCGTAAGTCGGGGGATTTATAATTCATGAAAATGACGACAAATATCAATTTCATGCAACCTAGGTAGCGCGCGCGAAGCGCGCTATCTGCCTAGTTTTGTTAAATTTTAATTCGTTCAATTTTATTTCGTTGAATTTGTTTTAGTGGATTAGTAATGGAACAAAAATTTCATCACCTTCCTCAAATTCACTACTAAACTTTTAAATACAAATCATCCTTATTGCATTCTCCCCGTGCCATTCTGTCCGATTTCCACGTAATCATCACCTACATTTATTCATGCCTCATAAAAAAGTCATCTCCCCCGCTTCGACCGTCCCTCCGTTACCGACAATCGCTAACGTCAATCATTCTAATTTGAAAATATAATATCTGTACATGATGACTGTAATTATCCCCCCATCCATCGTAATTCCCTCTAACAATACGTGGCAATTGCGCTTCCCTCTCTCCACTCTAACACATTCCCATCATCACAATTCCAATCCCTGCTATCACTTCAACAGAATCAAGAGCATCATAAAAAAACGAAGCCCCCCGTATTATCACACTGCGCTCAAGAGCTTTTTCCCAACTTTTCATTTAATCGTTTTTCTGTATCCCCTCCACGGGCCGCACTCACACCACCGCAAGTCGCGATAACTCAGCACTTTTACATGGAGCCAGTGTTGATCCAACACTTTACGTAAACACCCGCAAAACCGCTCAGTGTGATCATCATCAAATCAAATCGATCTTTGGATGCATTTAAGTTGAAGTTACCGCGATTATTAGTGCCGCAAAACCCTGTAAATCATGATTATTCCGTTAATAAAAAGGCGAACATGCCGAGTTGTCTGTGGGAAGATGCTGACCGCCAGAGTATCGCGACTGTCAATGAAAGTGGACCCTGCGCCGCTGGAGAAACCCGAAGATCCATCGAAAGAAGTGACGATTAATTATCTCGACGGAAAGGACAACGGAATAGCAGTACTGGGTCTCAACAGGCCAGCGGCCAGAAATTCCTTCGGCAGAAATCTCGTGAGTCTGTTATCAGAGTCATTACACAAGATACGGGACGATGAGAAGGTCAGGGTTTTGATTTTGCGGAGTCTAGTGCCGAAGATCTTCTGCGCGGGAGCGGATTTGAAGGAGCGGGCGCAGATGACCGAAGCGGAAGTGGGTCAGTTCGTGAATATCCTGAGAAATTTGATGAGCGAAATCGAGTCGATACCGATTCCCTCGATCGCGGCGATCGATGGAGCCGCTCTTGGTGGTGGTCTTGAGATGGCGTTGGCCGCTGACATGAGGACGGCTGCGTCCGAGGCGAAAATGGGACTCGTGGAGACGAAACTGGCGATCATACCCGGTGCGGGGGGGACTCAGAGGCTCCCCAGGATCGTGGGGGTTGCTAAGGCGAAGGAGATGATCTTCTCGGCGAAGATCCTGGACGGCGATGAGGCGGAGGACATTGGACTCGTTAACAAGGCTGTGCCGCAGAACAGGGGGGGAGATGCTGCGTATCAGGCGGCCTTGAGCATCGCTCGGGAAATTCTGCCTAATGGACCGGTTGGAGTCAGGTGAGTGCGCTCGGAAGACATGCAATTGTCGATTCAAGTGTTGAAGACATTCCGTGAATCTCATTCTCGTGAATATTATAAAAATCCAAATCGACTTTTGGTGATGAAAATTTGGTACTCGAGATTGAGACTCCAAAATTAAGGATGAGGTTCAGAATAAGGGTCATGACGGTCAGAATAAGGGTCATGAGGGTCAAAATAAGGATCATGAGGGGCAGGAGGATCAGAATAATTGTTATGAGGGTCAAAATAAGGGTCACGGGGGGGAGAATAAGGGTTACGAGGGTTAGATTGAGGGTCAGATTAAGGGCCACGAGGGTCACAATAAAGGTTGCAAGGATCAGATTAAGAATCAGCATAATGATCCCAATGAGGGTCACAAAGGTCAGATTAAGGGTCGTATGGATCAGAATAAGGGTCACAAGAGTCAGAATAAGGGTTACGAGAGTTAGATTAAGGGTCATGAGGTTCAAAATAAAGGTTAAGAGGATCAGATTAAGGGTCAGAATAATGATCTAAATAAGGGTCATAAAAGTCAGATTAAGGGTCATATGGCTCAGAGTAAGGGTCACGGTAAGGGTCCAAATAAGGATTATGAGGGTCAGAAGCTGAGGGTCGCAAGGGTCAGAATAAGGGTCACAGAAAGGGTCCAAACAAGGATTATGGGGGTCAGAAACTAAGGGTCACGAGGGTCATAATAATGATTCAAATAAACGTCACAAGAGTCAGATTAAGGATCATATGGGTAAGAATAAGGGTCACAGTAAGGGTCCAAATAAGGATTATGAGGGTCAGAAACTGAGGCTCGCAAGGGTCAGAATAAGAATACAAATAAGGGTCACAAGAGTCAGATTAAGGATCATATGGGTAAGAATACGGGTCACAGTAAGGGTCCAAATAAGGATTATGAGGGTCAGAAACTGAGGGTCGCAAGGGTCAGAATAAGAAATCAAATAAGGGTCACAAGAGTCAGATTAAGGGTCATATGGGTCAGAATAAGGGTCACAGAAAGGGTCCAAACAAGGATTATGGGGGTCAGAAACTAAGGGTCACAAGGGTCAGAATAAGGATTATGGATGTCATATGGGGATCGTATGAGGGTCATATGTGGGTCATATGGGGGTTGGCGAGTGGAGCGAGCAGGGGGTGTTGCCCCCTAGTTTTGAAGATAAAAATCGGAAATAAATTCTTAACGGAAGTTGGGTAACACCTCTATATAACACAGTATTGTGATGTTACTGGCCAATTAATCATTAAAAATTATCACACAGTTCGTACGCTGTGGGAGGGGGCTGCGTACATTTTAGGTCGATTAATTTTTTTTATTGGATTCTATATTCCATGACGAGTGAATTTGAGGAAGGACTTAATTCATGGTTTTTCATTTGGAAAACGGTCGAGTTGAGAAGGAAAAGTACAGACTGACTTTTCTTAAAATGTCTTGAAGAGTCAGAAACTGATTTTTTCGATTGAAAATCGAAAATTTTCATTTTTTGGTTAAACAAATAATTCGAAAAAATTATCAATCTGGTATAATCGGAATAAATTTCATCATGGATCAGCAGATACAGCTATGATAATGATCTTTTAACACCGACAGGATGACATCGAAACCAATATTTTAAACTATGGTTGCATTAATTTGAAGTGAAATATCCAAAGATATCTCCGGAATTGTCATTTTTTTACTACAAAATTTTTGAAAAAAATTTATTTAAAAAATTGATAGATTTTGATTTTTGTAGAAAATCTATTCTATTGGAATACTTTGGAGAGACAAGTGCCTCTCATATAAATACCTCGGCATAAATTTTCCAAGTTTTATACACTATCGTTTCCGTCTCACATAAAAAACGGCTAAAAACTTACATAATTCAATTCCAGGTATTTACTAAGAAACGATCTCAAGTGAATGAATTACTCAGAGAGATCAAAGTGTAATGTTTTTTTCTAAAAAAATCCCTAGACATTTCTGTAAAAAGAACGCGTAAACGCGCACGCGACAAATAGAATTTTCAGTATAATTCCAATAGTTTTTTCTAGCGAATGCATTAGGTTTTTGTAGAAAATTTTTTCAAACGCGAATTCAGCGGCGGAATGAGGAAAACAGGCAATAACTCCAGAATAAAAAGATGAGTAGATTATTTTGCGAATATGTTCAGAATGCAGAGCCTCAGTGAAAGTCACTGAAGACCTGTTTTGTAGAGAATTCTATCGACTGTGAGAATGTCTTCTGATATTCCTCTGTAAACTTATTAGTTTCAGAGATAGGGTGAACAGGCCAATTGCTGGACGATTAAGGGAAATTTGAGTTTCGTGGTAGGATCTAAAATAGAAGAATCACCTAAATGGGAATATGATAGCTGCCATACTTTCAAGAATGTTTTAATTAGGAGAAAAAAATTATTTGAAGTAGAAATAACAAAACAAAGAATAATTAAATTCCGAAATAGTCCAATGCAACCGAAACCCCTAATTTCCAGACGACTGGGCCGTATTGTTTTATTTATTAAATGTCGGTCAATAGAAAAAATAATTGATCGTATGATTATACATGAGTAATATTATGGAGAAATGAAATAATCAGTACAATTTTCATTTTATTATTTATAGAATATTTAATCGAAGTAGAAATCGTTCAGAAATTGACCGGTTTACCCCATTCCTACAGTACTCTGGATGAAATTTCTCTCCATCGAATTTCATTTTTAAATCAACCAAATTATCAGTATGAAATTTCTGCTGAAACAGCAAGAAGTTTTCTGCAAAGAACTGCGTGGGCTGCAAAAAAACCCCTTTTGGTATTTTTCTCGAGACTCATCAGTTCAAAGTACCTCTACCATTACAAACAATTTATAGAAAATTTAAAGAAAAAATGTTTTTAACAAACCTGAATTACATGTTTGTTAAAAATGTAATGAAAAAATGTTAAAAAATCAGGATTCGATCCAACGTTTTACGTGAAAATCACCACTTCCATTTCAATTAAAGACTAAAATCTCATTTTTTTTCAGTAAATATGAAAAAATCATGAAATACTTTAATACCTCATAGAAAATGATCGGCCGTTCCGTGAACAAGTTCCATTATTTATTTATGAGAAGAGAATGTAAGATACATATTAATATTTTACAGAATTTAATTTTAATAATACTATTTTGGTACGAATTTCTTCATTTTATTTCACGCAATTTAGTTGGAAAATTCAAAAACTGAAAATATCTAAATCTATAGTGCAGCCTGTCGAGAGAGTAGAGCTTCTTCAAAAGATATTTGCAAAATTTTCTGGATTAAATTTGTTAGGTCCCCTTCTTCTTATCATTTCGTTATCTGCATTGTTGCTGATAAGACGACTAAAACAATTTTTAAATAATTGAACTGTCGGCAAACACTTCTGAAGACACTATGATGAGAGAAATATTCGGTCTTGCGGTCAAAAGAAAGGAAATTTCCACAAATTTTGCTCAAGTGCGAGCCCTCTTCAAGGCCAATTTATCGCTATAGAACTAAATGCAAAAAAAATATTGTCATAACATTCTAACATTGTAACGGATTACTCTAGAGTAAAACGATATTTGCTTGGCATGTGGTTTTTCAAAATCGGATTCATGGAGTTTCTTACTTGATGATGGAATTTTATGACAACACGGAAATTTCAATTCTTCGAATTTCATTTAATGTCTAATGGTGGTAGGCGGTGGAAGTAGTCGACTTTCGAGAGAAAGAATCTCAGTGGATCCCGGTAGCTTAGTGGAAGAGCGTCCAGTGCGAAACTGGGAGATCCAGGTTCGATTCCCGGCTGGGAGCTGCGGAATATTTTTTTTATCACGCTGTGACGAAAAGTGAACTTTTCGGCACGCTCCGCGTGCCTAAAAGTCCAATTTCCGCCACATTGTGATGAAAAATATTGTTCGTAACTCGTGAAAAAATGTTTTTTAGCTCGTGGGATTATATCACTCGCCTTCGGCTCGTGATATAAACCTCCCACTCGCCAGAAAACACTTTTTTTGTACTCGTTACGAAATATACTATTTTTCTCTCGAAAATTTGAATTCTTCGAATTTTTTTTTTTTCATATTTTCCCGCTTTTCATATTTTTTTTCTGCATTTGCTTCTATACCAATAAATCGCACTGCCCCGTGCAAGCGAAGGAATCAATTCACTCATGGAGAGATTCCCACAATTAGATATTTTTAGTAGCTCATTAGGTTCAATATGTAACAAAGTTTACGTAATCGCGAGAGAACAGTAACGACATTGTTGCTTCTGAATGGAAACATTGTATTCGTCCAATGCGAAATTGCCAATTTTTTGTGTCAGGATAATTAATTTTGGCCTTCGAATATGCTATTTTTAGACCATATCCGGATGTATACATGTGTATATGTGACCGACGGTTTTTCGATGATAACTAAAAGATAATTCAGTAGCGAAGTGGTAAAACGGTTTAAGGCCCGGGTGTACTATCTTCCGAACGTTATCTCGATCTTTTTTTTTCATCTTTCGTCATCTGAAATTGTCAATTGAGTCCTGCATCATGCAGAAGTTGTGAAAAATTATGAATGAATAATCAAAAAAAGTATAAGAAATTCTTAATTTTTTCAAAGAGCATTTTTACTTTATATTCAGAATAAGTTGAATAACAAGAAATTGAAAAATGTATCTGATTTACGGTGACAAATGGCGGCCTGCCACCCAATATCATGCAGGGGGAAGACTGATTTCGTAAATCTTTTCCCATACTGTACAGAGACATTTATTACGAACAAGGCTCTTTGGAAAAAGTTGTAATATTTTGGAGAATTTTTTAATCACACTTTTATTACATAAAAATGGCAGACGACTACATAGCACTGTTTTGAAAATTTAGATACCTAGCTGTCACTTTCCATGAGAAGTTTGTGTTTTGTTATCCACCATGGAAAATGACAGCTAATAGATAATTTGCCACAGCGAATCAGATATTTGTAATTTTCACTTTTTTCAACTCATTCTGAATCTCAGTTAAAAACGCTCTTTGAAAGAGTTCAGAATTTTTTCTATTTATTTTTTATCATTCTATCATAATTTTTGGAAATTTCCACATGATGTACCACTCAATTGACAATTTTGGATTACGAAAGATAAAAAAAAATCCGGATAACATTCGAAAGATAGTACACCCGGGCCTTAAGTCGACTTATCTCCCAGTTGAGTTTTTGAGGAATATTTCCGAATCTAAGGGAGATAGCGAAATTTTCGTAATTACATTAATTTGTTTTAGCTCTCAATCGGCTTTATAAAAAAGGTTTTAAAAATATTTTGCCATCTTCATTAGATTCCGAAATATTCATTGAAAACAGTTCAATCGTCAAAATTGACTTATACCGTTTTACCACTTCCCTAATTGAATTGTTGAAATGAATCCAATTGTGATTTAACATATGCCCAATGCCACCTTGACCGAAAAAATTTATTTTGAAACCAATATTCAGGGAAAGGTTAAAAATTTTAACGTTGAGTCAATGTTCATTTCAATGACTCATTGCAATCAATTAAAATACACCGTCATATAAATTCCATTCGGAAGCAAATTGCTAATTTGTTAGCAAAAATATATTGACTATCTTGTGACACTCATGGGAAGTGACAGCTAGGTATCTCAATTTTCAAAACAGTGGTATGTAGCCATCTGCCATTTTTATGTGATAAAAGTGTGATTAAAAAATTCTCCAAAATCCTACAACTTTTTTCAAAGAGCCTTTTCCGTAATAAATGTCTCTGTGCAGTGTGGGAAAAGATTTACGAAGTCAGTCTTCCCCCTGCATGATATTGGGTGACAGGCCGCCACTTGTCACCGTAAATCAGATACATTCTTCAATTTCTTGTTATACAACTTATTCTGAATATAAATTAAAAATGCTCTTTGAAAAAATGAAGAATTTTTCCTACTTTTTTTCATTATTCATTCATAATTTTTTAAAACCTCTGCATGATACAGGACTTCATTGACAATTTCAGATGACGAAAGATGAACAAAAACATTGAGATAACGTTCGAAGGATAGTACCAGTCGAAAGAGAGTCCCATTATTGGCTAACGCTGTCGGCTTATGGTGAAACAATAAAAAAGAAAACAGTTCGAATAAAATAAAATAGCCCTGAAGAGGAGCCGCCCTTGTGGCTCTTAACGTAGGCGCAATAGACATAAGAATTTGTTGAAATTTTCTTCGCACGTTTGACCACGAGGCCGACTATCCTTTTCATTACAGCAATTTTTAAATGTCTAATTTTTTATGCATCAGGATGGCAAAGGTAGCAATCACGAGAGGAATCGAGGTGCCAAGCGACCAAGGCTTCGAGATTGAGAGGGAGTGTTACTCAAAGATACTTAAAACCAAGGACAGACTAGAAGGGCTGGCAGCATTCTCCGCAAAACGTGTGCCAATTTACCGTGGCATGTAACGTGGAATAATTAATATTAACTCTAGGCACCACTGTGATAACGTCAAGTTAAATTCTGTGTATATTCTGCAATATCAACATACAATACAATTTTCATCTCAATAGTTCACAATTTTATATTCTTTTTTTTTCACGAATCTGCGTGTAATACGTGATTTAACTAATCCCCAGGTAAATAGTCTATTCTCCCATAAACTTTTTGATCAATAAAAATAAAACGATGATACACTGTGCAAAGTCGGACGACTTTTCGGAATGACTAATTTGTGTGGTATTAATTGGGTGATTAGCGGCATTGCAGTGCTCCATCCCTATTTCTCATTTCTTTGCGAACTTCGAGCAGTACTTTTATCTCGTCTATTGTGTCCGCAGGGTCGTTGACACGATGGCCCACGGTCAAGTCGCTCTGGTAAATCTGATAGTCATTTCCACCTTCGTAACATCTGTCACCGAAAAAGTGGATCTTGTCGCATTCGTCGATGTGACGGAGGCAATATGTCTTGTCCCAACCGTTTGGAAACACGTCAATTGATATTTGTCCACCTGAAATTAGAGTTTATGTTGGAGGGAATATCATTTCATGGTCTCCAAACAATTGATTCGTTGGAATAAATCATTGAGTGGATTCCATCACATGAATGGATGGAATTCATCGAATAGGAATTGATTTTTTTTTATTGCATGGTTCGACAAAATTCGAACGTGGTTGACCTCAAGAACGAGACTGAACCAATTTTATATTATTATTAAAAAAATTCTGGATAAAATTTTTAGTCTCCAATTCTCAATTTCTGTCATTTATTCTATTCATTCTATCACGAGATAAAGATATAAATCGAATTTCTAGGTATTTTTCCATTATTCTAAAAAATATCGATTTTAATACTTTTGGGAAATGTTGAAAATATAATTTGTTTATATCTTCCCGCCTAGGTTTTTTTGCATTTTATTCATTTCTTCTCGTTAAAATTAGATCATAAAATTCCAAAATATTCATATGCCGTCCATATTCGAAGAGAAACAAATAATTTCCATTTTCTAACCGATTATCCCTTTCTAAAAATTTGCAGTCTCTTTTTTCAGGATTTTTCTCACTCGATTTGACTCAACCAATTGGGATAAAATCAAATCCACTGAACAAATCGCATTTTCACTAATTCATAGCTTTTTTCTGGGAGAACCTATGCCCAAATTCACTGTTTTATAAATTTTTCACATTGTTCATTTTAGTCGTTTTCTCGAAAACTAGACGGTGCTAGAACGATTTCTGAAAGAAATTAAAAATCAGCATTAAAATATCTATAAGATGGGGTCGATTTCGTTTTCGAGGTCAAAGTTTTCATTCGATTTTGATGAAACACCTTTCAATGCGAATTCTCTTCACATTTTCCAATCCAATTTCAGTCAATAAAACAAACTTTACAAAAAAAATTGATAAAAGTACTCCTGAGCTTTGAATGCATCTTCGTGAATAAAAACACCAGACATCGTCTGTTAATTTTCCAAAGTTAAGTAAAGATGTTCGTAAAAGTATCAGTTTACCTATCGCAAACGTCAATCCAAGATCAGGAAATTCTTTCTTCAATGCCTGAACGAACTTCTCACGAATATGATGCTCTTTATCGTACTCTGCAAACTGATCTCTCTCGGCTGTGGTGCAGTTTCTGCCAACAGGCGAGACATTCACCATTCCAGTGCGGAGTTCGATGAAGGTACCTCGTTTGAAGGGTAACGTCAATTCGGATATGTACTTCAGACAGAAGTTGGTCAACTCCTGGTGAGCATCATCTCCCAGTACAGTTAGGATTGACTGCAAATACAAGAGTTGAACGTAAAGTTTTCAGGGGGATCAACCATGACATTTTTTTAACAGCAAGCGTAACGAGAGATGAATTTAGTAGCGAAGTGGTAAAATGATTTAAGTCGACTCATCTCCTAGTTGAGTTTTTGAGGAATATTTTCGAATCTAAGGGAGATCGCCAAATTTTCGTATATAGATTTGTTGTAGCTCTCAATCGGCTCTACAAAAAAGGTTATAACAAAAATTTTGCTATCTCCCTTAGATTCCGAGATATTCGTTTAAAACTAGTCAATAGCCAAAATTGACTTGTACCGTTTCACCACTTCGCTAGTAAATTTAAATTATCTTGCAAGTATCTTGAAACTGAAGGAGTTATTGCTATTGCTATTCATCTATTACAGATCTGACAGCCTCGGCCAAATATAGAGTCAAATTTTGTTTCATAAAACTCATATAAAATAAATATATGGGTGTTTTCGCCAATTATTGGTATGGTTCTGTACCTTCAATAATTCAATTTTTTCTAGGCTTCTTATATGGCTTTCTTATCATTCAAAAGTCTGAAAAAAAATTTTTCAATTTTTTTCCAATTGTATTACGCCTACAATGTTAATTTTTGAGTTTTGTGAGTTTTTGACAAAATTTTGCATTTCAGTACAGGTCAATTTTTTCGGGTTGTCAATAAGATCAATTAGCTCACATCATCGGAAATGCTTTAAAATAATGCCGAAAAAGTAGAAAATTGTGCGTGGTACCCCTTTTTCTCACCTCAATTGAAGATTTTTCTTATTTCTTTACCCAAAGTGACTTTTTTTACGAAACATATTAAAAAATTGGACTAAGCCTCGGATTCATTCGGTCCAAAGAATTTTTTTTTTTAATTTCGTTTCAAAACATTTTTCCCAATTTTTCATTTTTTGATTTTTGCATTTTAAAATTCAATATTTATCCACCATTTATGGTCCAATTGTTCATTTGAAAACAAAAAATGAAATTAGCCGTGTTGAAGTCGAATTTCAAAAAACTAATTCGTAATTGTTATTGCATACATTTGCTCTGTAGCTAAAAAATTGCAGGGGCTGGACTATTTTCGATGTTTTAAGCGTCTGCGGGGCAAACTAACAAATAAACAATCATTTTTTCCCACTAATTATTCATTTTTAGCCATATATAATCGATCTGCAAAGTATAAAAAACCTCAGTATTCCAATACCTCGCGACCTTGAAAGCTCATAATAGTCTCCCCTTAAGGGTGCGAAGTGAATTTGGCGATGACCTTGAAAATGACATTTACCAACAGAGTTATAATTTTTTAAATTAATAGTATTAAACAGATGGTGAACATTGGTGACAATTTTAGAATTTTAGAACTTATGGGTATCGAGAAATTAAATAAACAAAATCAGTCTTATACACGGGCTCTTATGGAGTTTTGATTAAATTGAACGTTTCGCCCCCCTAGGAACTCAAGAAAAATTTGAAAAAATTTGAAGATATGGGGAATTATGTGTCAAATGTGATAGCGACAAAAAAACAATGGGGTACCGGGGTGAATAGGAGAGATATTTCAACCCCCCGTACCCATTTGATCCCATGCTTTCTCGAGGTTCGTCACGCGAAATAGAGGATTTTCCGCATTTATTTTCTCGATGTCTAGTTCCGGTTGCGGGTTTGAAATTTCGTCGAATGGATGAATACATATTCCTCCGATGGTGGAGGGAAAGAAAAAATTTTTTTTGAATTTTTCTTCAAATTCACTTGGCACCCTTAAGTTGTGTTGATTTGTTAGTTGTTTTGTTACCTCACTTGGAAGCTGTTTCTCATCGACATACGCTATCAGGCCGTTCTCAGCAAAGACATACTTGTACTTCGAGATGACATCGTCGCCAAGCTGTTCCTTAACTTTCGCGATATCAGACCCACTCACTATTCCAATATCAAACTTTTCTCTTTTCGCAGTTTCGAGCAAGAATTGCTCCATTTGTGGCTCGATTTTCTGAAATAAAAGTATTGAGTCATAATGTAAATTCGGCATGTTCTCCCTCACTACTGATTCGTCACGAGTTTATTTACCTGACGTGGCTTGGTGAGGGTTCCGTCCACATCGAACAGACAGACGATCTTCTCTTCCGACATGGTACAAGCCTATTCTATTAATCTGTAATCAAAAATTATGTCAATTTGACAAATGATGTTCAATAGTTTAATTAGTCGACTTTATTAGTAATGGGGTTGGATGGATCACGCATGATGTAATCAGCCACAAAGTGGAAGCATGGATACAATTTAGTAATGAGATGAGGAAATGGTTCGGGTATTTCGATAATTAGCCCCTCATTTGCCTCGGGAATTGGTCATTCCGAACGTGTTTCCTGATTTTCCAATGTTCTTCATCTGAATTATCTTATCAGCTTATGGAATAATGTTCTGCGATGTCACAAAGATGTGAAATGCTTGAAAGGGTTCATGTCTAAAAAACGTCCATCAAAAAAACTTGGTCAAAACCACTTGGTAACAAAGAAAACTTGAAAAAAAAATCGAACAACCTGAACTTCAAAGAACTTGAAAAGACGTTTAAACTTTTAACGTATAATGAAAATTTCGAAAAAAGTGCACACACATACATACATACGTACAGAGACCTTCTAAAAATTGCAATTTGGACTCTTAGGACAATATTTCGTTGCTCTGACACAAAAATTTGGAAACGTAAATTTGAACGATTAGAACACGGACGAAAAAATTTAATAGAAAAACCTATCGAATTCGTTAGAAAATTCTATTGAATTTCTATTAAACTGTTCTATTAGTTTTTGGCCGATTCTATTAAAATGTTCAATAGAAAATATTCAGTAGAAAAAGTCAATAGAATTCAATTTTTCTCTATAACTTATTCTATTAAGATATTTTCCATAGAATTTCCTCGGCTCAAATTTTCCAAGTTTTTTCGTTTGATTTTCTTGATGAGAAGAAAAGAAAAATAGAGTGAAAAAAACTTTAAAAGTTGAGTCGAGCAAATTCTACAGAAAATATATGAAAAGAATAAGTTATATAGAAAAATCGAATTCAGTTGACTTGAAACTGAAATCGATTTTTCTATATTGACTTGAGAAGAACTTGACAAGACATTTAAACTTTTAACGTATAATGAAAATTTCGAAAAAAGTGCACACACATACATACATACGTACAGACACCTTCTAAAAATTGCAATTTGGACTCTTAGGACAATATTTCGTTGCTCTGACACAAAAATTTGGAAACGTAAATTTGAACGATTAGAACACGGACGAAAAAATTTAATAGAAAAACCTATCGAATTCGTTAGAAAATTCTATTGAATTTCTATTAAACTGTTCTATTAGCTTTTGGCCGATTCTATTAAAATGTTCAATAGAAAATATTCAGTAGAAAAAGTCAATAGAATTCAATTTTTCTCGGCTCAAATTTTCCAAGTTTTTTCGTTTGATTTTCTTGATGAGAAGAAAAAAAAATAGAGTGAAAAAAACTTTAAAAGTTGAGTCGAGCAAATTCTACAGAAAATATATGAAAAGAATAAGTTATATAGAAAAATCGAATTCAGTTGACTTGAAACTGAAATCGATTTTTCTATATTGACTTGAGAAGAACTTGACAAGACATTTAAACTTTTAACGTATAATGAAAATTTCAAAAAAAGTGCACACACATACATACATACGTACAGACACCTTCTAAAAATTGCAATTTGGACTCTTTGGACAATATTTCGTTGCTCTGACACAAAAATTTGGAAACGTAAATTTGAACGATTAGAACACGGACGAAAAAATTTAATAGAAAAACCTATCGAATTCGTTAGAAAATTCTATTGAATTTCTATTAAACTGTTCTATTAGCTTTTGGCCGATTCTATTAAAATGTTCAATAGAAAATATTCAGTAGAAAAAGTCAATAGAATTCAATTTTTCTCGGCTCAAATTTTCCAAGTTTTTTCGTTTGATTTTCTTGATGAGAAGAAAAAAAAATAGAGTGAAAAAAACTTGAAAATTTGAGTCGAGCAAATTCTACAGAAAATATATGAAAAGGATAAGTTATAAAGAAAAATCGAATTCTGTTGACTTTTTCTATTGAATGTTTTCTATTGAACATGTCAATAGAATCAGCTAAAAACTAATACAAAGTTTAATAGAAATTTAATAGAATTTTCTAACGAATTCGATAGGTTTTTCTACTAAATTTTTTCCTTCGTGTTATCTCCAAAACAATCTCTTATTCTCAGAGACAGCAAAAACCAATTGCACATCTGTTTCACTTCGCCACAAATTCCCAACTAAAATAAAGCTGCATTCGTCAGCAAAGACGTATTAGGGGAGGTTGGGGCAAAACAGACACTTTTTACTTTTTTCAAATATTAGTGACGGGTTGAAATGTTGATGAAATTTAATCATTTTTTTTCAATACAAAGAACAATTCTTTCCCTTTGTGATGAGCCTAAACTGAGCTCTATTGATACATTTGTTTCTGAGTTATGAATAATTTTAAAAAAGTCTACAGTGTCCATTTTACCCTACCCTCCCCTAAAGTAAAAATGATCGACAACCAAACAATCCCTTCGATACAAAAAAAACTCCATTAAAAAACTCGCAGCCGATCCCTCGAAAAGCTGCAAAAATCAACCACAATATTTTCCATAAGGTAAAAAAACATTCAAAAATCGTAGTCACGTGAAAGGCGGGACCCATCGATTTTCATCAGTCTCGGCTCTTTTTTTCACAGAACCGGCAGTAAACTCCCCAATCCCCCACTGACTCGCGCGTTTCGACCACAAAATAGACCCCGTTAGCCTCACAACAACGCATAAATCCAATAATTGAATTTTTTTTTAAATAAGAGAAAGTGATGGGGTCAACAATGTCCAGTTAACCTGTACAAACGTCACCGATCTCCCTCCCGCCCCCGATCGATAAATAACTCTGGATATTTGTCGATGCATGTCACTCCCCACACTCACAACTACAACGAAAGGGTAAAAAGTAGACAAAAAATAAGATGAGGAATGAGACTGAACCTCTGGTCTGGAGTGAAAGCAGTGGAGCTAACGTGGCAGTGGCAATAAGCGGCAAGCGGCCAGCGAGCGACAGCAACAACTGACGCGGATCGTTGTCCAATTGGTGCAACAGAACGGAGCAGTGCAAAACAAAACAGCGCAGCGCAGGGTTTGACAAAGTCTGGAGGAGATTTAGAATGACAGTTCACCCATTTCTCCTGTTGATCGTCAGCGCATTGTCGGTGCTGGACGAGGTGCATGGGGAGCGGAGAAACGCCGTATTGATCTTGGGTAATATTCAATTGAAGTTGCGATCCGGCGTTTTTATTGAAGGCATTTAGCCAGGACTGGAGAAACTGAATGAAAAGCCTGACGCATCGGCTGGAAAATTTCGTTGGCCTTTCAGTCGAATTCTATCAGAATTTTATTGGAGGTATTGAGGTAGGGGAGAGTGGGGCAACATGAAACGAAAGAAAATGGAATATTTGACGCAATTCAAGCAAAACAAATTTTTTAGCAACTTTTGTTGATAAAAAAAATTTGTTTTACTTGAATTGCGTTAAGGGTGCCCATTAGTATCGAATTATTTCTGTCTTTTGCCGTCAAATGTGAAATATTGACTTTTAGAAGTCAATTGGGATGTTCTTCCGATAGAGAGACACTTGATTTTGATTGAAAAAGTTAGGAATTAGATGAATATTCGTGAAAATAAAACGTAGTGCCCCGAACTCTGATTTCGAATGTTGAAAACCGATCCACCCCACACTGAGAGAAAAACGACAAAGTTCTCAAACAAGTCTTACTTGTGCCAAGAAAATATTTTTTTTTTAATTACCAAAAAAGGATTTTTTTTGTGCCAAATATGCAGAGAGTGCGCCGGAATGAAAAATTTTTGTCGCAAAAATGGATATAGTAGTTCAAAAAAAAAATTGCATTCTCTGTACACGCAAGAAATGTCATTTCTAGCACTAGTCTTTCGTTATTCGATACTCCCATACGTATTTTGCTCCCGAAAAATCTTTGTTTTACAGTAGTCTCCCTATTATTTTGGCCTTGAGACTGAGAATTCGGCGCACCCAAACGGCCTGGGACCCCCCACTTTTCCGTGGAGGGCGTGACTTGAGAAGAGAGAAACAGAGAGAGAGAGTGGAATCTGCCTGTTTCACTTTTCCTGTAGTGGGAGCAACCATAACCTCAACCTGTCAAATGAAATGAAATCCAGAGGGTGAAATGATTAGAATGGGTCTTTTGTCTGTTTAATTGTTTTTATTATCAAACACAACAGTGCTTTATCCACCAAGATGTTAACTGGTTTCACCAATTTTTTTCTGGATTGAGGAAGAACATTTTCGAGCTCGTTTTTCCACTTTTCGAGTTTGTCTTTTCGTTTCACCCACGACGTCAGTGGCCTCGTGAACGTTGAGATTTTCAACAATTGCTGAAACTGGAGTCCCGCTTGTTACCTCGTCTACGGCTTTTATTTTAATGTGTACCTCCACTGAAACTGGAGATTTCTTTTTCAAATTTGTTTTCACCGGGGACATGTTGAGGTTATAAACGACAAAACACGAGGCTATACATAACACATGAGGGGTGGCCCCAAAGAGTCTCCCACTGCGCGTCCCGTCGCGCAGCGGGACACACGCACTTACCACAAANATACATGTGAAGGATACGTAAGGTAATCTCCGAAGGGTCAAGCCGAAGGCACAGACATAAAATAGGGAGACTACTGTATGCCAAACAAGGGATAGTAGTTTTTAGTTTCGGCTGTCTAATAATCACAGACAGGAAATGAACCCTTAAATGAAACAATAATAATGATATAGCAATCTTGTAACTTAGGGATAAAATATTTGTTGATTAATTTTCCTCTATATATGAGATATTTTCACCCTGAAAAGGCAGCGTCTGGTCTGAATTATCCGCCTCTTGAACCAAATATTTCGTTGCTGTCGAAAGCATAACAATTATTCATGTTTGAGAGACTTTCAAATTCGAATCAAACAAATTCCTTTTTGGCAATTTTCAACTAGCGATTTTGTTGGCCTAAATGAGACTTGTTTGACAACGTGTTTGTTTTTCTCTCAGTGCAATTGTCGAATAACGTGGGCACAGTTTTCGAATAAAGCGAATTAAATGGGTTTGGGCGAAGAAAATTAAGGAAATGGTGTATGAAAAACATCCATAGCAATTTTATTGTTATTTCAACAGTAAAAACCTGATTAAAGGCTAGCGAATGAGCTCTCTTCCACTGTTTCCCCCTCGCCGCATTCTACAAGGGGAAAGGGGTGAAGGGATTTAATTTAATAATGCGAAACAAAAAAAAATGACAATAAAAAATATTTCTACAATATGCAATGGTTAAACCTATATCTAGGTCTTCCGAAATCTGGGTCTTGTGAAGTCATGAATAGAAATCGGCGAAAAAAAATAGAATTTAAATAATTTCTATAGTATTTTCTATGAAATAATTCCTATGACATTTCAATAGAATTCTTATAGAGTTTAAGGAGGAATTCAATCGATGTTTCAGCGAAAGCGGAGGCTTTTCTACTCATAGTTTCACATTATGAATACTTGATTTGAATTTTTTATGTTACTTGAATCAGCTGACGATGGAGGGTTTGAGATGGGGTCTTACAGGAACAAAATATCTCAAACACCGAATTTGGATGCTCTGGCGAGAGACAGTTTGATTTTTAATAATGCGTACACTTCTGTGAGCAGCTGCTCTCCAAGGTAAATTGATCGATAATTGAATCTATGTAGGACAAGTGAAGCTTCGAAAACGGGATTTTTTTCCTTTGCTAATGAGGAATTAGATAACCGGGAACTTGCATGAATTTTTTTCAATTTTCTAGTCTCGAGTTTGGGACATGAATAATTCATTTTTCATTCACAAATGTTTGAATATTGCTCATTAATTATTAATTAATAATTAGTTGTTAAAAGTTGTGGATTTCAAACGCTTGGAAATCGCTAATGACGTCACACAGACGGTCGAACGCTGGACCAATCACAGAATGGCTCGAGCCGACCTAACCCAACCTTGAGGTGCGCCTCGGCCAATAGAGCACGACAACTTCCCACTCTCTTTTTTTTCGACCAATGAAGCGTGACCCGACCGTCTTCGTGACGTCATGACCGAAAAATTGGCCTTGAAAACGACTGATTCACAGTTAATTATCAAAAGATATCTAGGCAATATTTTTCCCTAATTTTCGACGTTTAGCTATCCATATGTTACGAGGAATGTGTGAATAAGGAAATTAGAAAGGATTGAGCTTCATGCAAGTTCCCTATTTACTAGTCATTGCAGTGGAAATTGAAAATTTTTTACCGGTTTTCCGAGATTTCTTGTAGTTGAAAACTTACAGGAGCTTTTTCTCGCTCTTATCCATACGAACATTGTTATTATTTCCCAAAATTGCACTACACACACGGAAAAATTTAATAGAAAAACCTATCGAATTCGTTAGAAAATTCTATTGAATTTCTATTAAACTTTCTATTAGCTTTCGGCTGATTCTATTGACATGTTCAATAGAAAACATTCAATAGAAAAAGTCGACAGAATTCGATTTTTCTATATAACTTATTTTTTTCATATATTTTCTATAGAATTTGCTCGACTCGAATTTTCTAAGTTTTTTTCATTCTATTTTTCGTTTCTTCTCATCAAGAAAATCAAACGAAAAAACTTGGGAAATTTGAGCTGAGAAAATTCTATAGAAAATATCTCAATAGAATAAGTTATATAGAAAAATTGACTTCTATTGACTTTTTCTACTGAATATTTTCTATTGAACATTTCAATAGAATCGGCCAAAAACTAATAGAACAGTTCAATAGAAATTCAATAGAATTTTCTAACGAATTCGATACGTTTTTCTATTAAATTTTTCCGTCCGTGTATCTTGGAATTAAATTTGAAACATTTTCAATTGAAGACCCATAATATTTAGTATTTATATGAAGATGCTAAAAACATGAGTCTTTTTAAGTCAGTTAAATATTCTCCCTCTAATCATTTTCGTTCTCCAAACGAGAAAAATGTTGTTCATTCATATTGCGAATTGGAATATTATTATTATATTAGTGATTCGATAATTTATCTCATGAGTAAAGATCGGGAAAATCTTGAGAAATGCAAGAACTAACTATCAGTTGATTGTTCGCAGTCGTTCTACTATTCTAACCGGCCTTCCGAGTCATCAGAATGGGATGTACGGACTTCATCAGGGGGTTCATCATTTCCAGTCCTTCGATGATGTTCAGAGTCTTCCGAAAATATTGAAAAACAATAATATTCGAACAGGTAAAGTCCTATCAAGGTAATAAAAAAAGAAGAGCCAAGAAATTTCATACGAATAATATCCAAAATTACCTCTTGAAAGTTTGTGTTGAGCGAAAATTCCACTGAAATTTGAAGGAATTTCGCCATTAAAAAATCACAATTTAACGAAAAAACAAATGGAAACTGTACATATCAAACCATGAAAATTGATAAGAATCAGAAAAATTCAGGCAAATATATCCTCAAATTTTCAAGTAATTGAGAATTCAGCGCAATTTGGGACTGAATATTCCTGTCTTTAATGAAAATTCAAGTCAGTTGGTAAATTTTAGTCTTCCCAGGCACGAAAAATTAGTAGAAAAACCTAATGAATTCACTAGACAATTCCGTCGGATTTCTATTGAATTTTCTATAAGCTTTTGGCCGAAAGGTTCGTTAGAAAATATTCCATAGAAAAAGTCGAGAAACTTTCAGACGTTCGATTGTTCTATACAACTTCTCCTATTGGGATATTTTCTATAGAATTCTTTTGGTTCAAATACTCTCAGTTTTTTTCATTCTATTTTTCTTTTCTTTCCATCAAACAAATCAAACAAAACACTTGAAAAATTTGAGAAAATATCTCAGTAGACTAAGTTGTATCGAATCGAATTCTGTTGACTTTTTCAATAGAATCACCCGAAAACTAGTGGAAAGTTCAATAGAAATTCTAGAAAAATTTCAGAAATTCTAGCGAACTCGTTAAATTTTTTTATTCAATTTTTTCATACTTGCCTGCCCTAGTCCATACCATTAGCAGTGATAGCCATCAATATTACATTTCTTCAATATCAAAAGGATTTCTGACTTACATTGATAAAGGTTTAAATATAGTCATTAAAATTTTAAATACTATAACATATAAAATGAATAATTTAATTTTCCGCCCGATGAATTAAATATTTGATAACATGGAACTGTAAATTTTCCATCAACTAAATCATTCAAATTTCGTAAAAGGGATTTTCGATTAACCAAATAATCGTCAATTTTCCTACCTAAATTATTGATTAGTAAAATTACTCAGAATTTGCATATTAGAATTTATGTTACTTAAATAACAAGAAATTCAAGAGTGATGTTAACTAATTGACGACTTCAAAATTCAACGGTTAATTATAATTTATGAACACGACTATCCCTGACCGTTCGCAGGAGAAAAATCGTCTACTAAATCTATTTCAATCCCTCTCTCCCCAGGAATTATCGGTAAAAAGCACGTGGGGCCCAGCGAGGTCTACCCCTTCGACTTCGCCTACACCGAAGAGGACCACTCAATCCTGCAAGTGGGTCGCAACATCACCCACATTAAGCTCCTCACCCGTAAATTCCTCTCAGAATCGAAGGACCAGCCCTTCTTCCTCTACATAGCCTTCCACGACCCCCACAGATGTGGCCACACAAACCCAGAGTACGGGAACTTCTGTGAGAAATTCGGGAACGGAGGCACTGGGATGGGCACGATCCCTGATTGGACCCCCATATACTACCAGTGGGACGAGGTCCCAGTGCCCTACTTCATCCAGGACACGGAGCCAGCTCGAAAGGACATCTCTGCCCAGTACACCACGATGTCTCGTCTCGACCAAGGGGTTGGACTGATCCTCAAGGAACTGAACGACGCAGGATTAAAGAATAGCACTCTAGTCATGTACACATCAGACAATGGGATACCCTTCCCCAGTGGCAGAACGAACCTCTACGACCCTGGGATGGCAGAGCCCCTGATGATCTCCTCTCCCCTCCACCCAAAACGAAACAACCAGGTGACTTACAGCATGACTTCCCTCCTGGACATTGTCCCAACACTTCTAGACTGGTTCGACATTGAAGAATTCCCAGAGTCCAACGAAATCCCTCCACTACGTCAAACAAAACTAACGGGAAACTCTCTGCTGCCTCTTCTGGATGACAAGCCCATCAACAACGACCAAATCGTCTTCGCGAGTCAGACCCACCACGAGGTGACGATGTACTACCCGATGAGAGTAGCTCGATCAAAAAGATACAAGTTGATTCACAATTTGAATTATGGCATGCCCTTCCCCATCGACCAGGACTTCTACCTCTCGCCGACCTTTCAAGATCTCCTCAACAGGAGTCGTTCGAACATGCCCCTGGAGTGGTACAAAGACCTCAAGAGTTATTACCACAGGCCAGAGTGGGAACTTTTTGATCTCAAGATGGATCCTGAGGAGCTAAAAAATATCGCGTTTGAACCCTCTGCCAAAGGGGTGTTCAAGGAGCTGAGGGAGAAGCTTCTGCAGTGGCAGAAAGACACTCAAGATCCTTGGATCTGCGCTCCACATGGAGTTCTTGAACCTTTCGAGGGGGATAAACATGATTTGAGGTGTATGTCTACGGAGTTTTGAGGTGGTGATTGGTAGATATAAAATTATATATTTTTTATACAAAATGTTAGTAGTACAATAGCATCAGTTGGTGACTAGACTAAGTTTATTTTTTTTGCTGAGATTATTGAGTGAGAATGTCGAAACATTACGTGCGCGATAATTGGTGTATTATTTAAAGTAGGAATTCTCAAGTTCCCAAATCAAAATTTTTTCCTTCTAATCAAGAATGAATAAATAATTATTTTTGGTTTGAGAATAAAACACAGTTGATTGAATAACTTCAAGCAGATATTCTTGAATTCAAAGAATTTTGTCGTTAAGTTAATACAATATTCATCCTTAAGTGGAATGAGGTAGCCAACATTCGTTCTTAACTTATAAATTTGTGTTTTATATTTTTTTATTGTGTGTTTTTGATTAAAATATATTCAACAATGTCCTATACTTTAATTATTAGAAAATGACATTGTCGTTACTCAAGAATTTTTGTTTTTTTGTATTGTCAAAAATATTCTTGACTCGAAAGTAAAGTACAGTTTATTCAAGAATCTCAGGCAGGCCCTTTTGGACATTAGAAAAATTTGCTTTTAAATTACAAAGATTTTAAATTATAAAACATTCACCTCTAACTCAACAATTCACGCGTTGTCAATTCAGTAAAATCGAATATACTTAATTAAAGCGCATTCAATAACATCTTTCCACCTATGCCTTAACTTCATTCGAGAATGAAGTTGTAATTTGTCCGAGAATTTTTTATAGTTGGATCGAAAATGTTGTTCTCTACTCGTGAAGAACAAGCTAATTAGTCTTCATTGAAGCATGAAATACATTTAATTTAAGAATTTCAGATAAATATTTTGGATTTCAGACAATTTTGTTTTAAAATTAGAGAACACTCATCCTCAAATTGAGAATTTGTTCATTTTCCATCCAAGAATACCGTATATTCTTAATTCAAGAATATTCAATAATATTCTTAGAAAATCACATTGTAGTTTGTTCAAGAATTTTCAACTTATTGACCTAAAGGGCGGAAGTTATTGTCATATTTTTGTGTTATCAACTCAAGATTTGTTTCCTCAATTGAAGAATAAATAACTAAATATTCCTGATTCAAGAATAAAATACAATCAATTCAAGAATTGAGAATACTCATCCTTAACTGAAGAATTTCTTGATTCAAGAATTCCCAACAATCTCCTCTCACTTTCAATATCAATCACATATTGTTAATTCAATAATATTCTTCCATCTATACTTCGACTTGATTTGAGAATTTTTGTATTGTTGGATCTCGAATTTTTTAATTAACCCCCAAGATTTCTTTCCTCAATTCCTAAACACAACAAAATATTCCTGATTCAAGAATAAAATGCAATCAATTCAAGTATTGAGAATACTCATCCTTAACACAAGAATTTGATGAAAATTCTTGAATTTCGTGTCAAATTCATTGAATTTTTTGATTCAAAAATTCCCAACAATTTTCCCACTTACAATATCAATTACATGTTGTTAATTCGACTAATACCTCGACTTTATTTGAGAATTTTTGTATTGTTAGATCCAGAATTTTTTAATTAACCCCCAAGATTTCTTTCCTCAATTCTTGAACACAACAAAATATTCCTGATTCAAGAATAAAATGCAATCAATTCAAGTATTGAGAATACTCATCCTTAACACAAGAACTTGATGAAAATTCTTGAATTTCGTATTAAATTCATTGAATTTTTTGATTCAAAAATTCCCAACAATTTTCCCACTAACAATATCAATTACATGTTGTTAATTCGACTAATACTTCGACATTATTTGAGAATTTTTGTATTGTTAGGTCCAGAATTTTTTAATTCTCCGTCAAGATTTCTTCACTCAATTCTCGAACAAAAAACTAAAAATTCCTGATTCAAGAATGAAACAAAATTCAAGAATTAAAAATATTCACCCTCAACTCAAGAATTCCCAACAATCTCCTCTCACATTCACATCAATCATCNTAAAATGCAATCAATTCAAGTATTGAGAATACTCATCCTTAACACAAGAATTTGATGAAAATTCTTGAATTTCGTGTCAAATTCATTGAATTTTTTGATTCAAAAATTCCCAACAATTTTCCCACTTACAATATCAATTACATGTTGTTAATTCGACTAATACCTCGACTTTATTTGAGAATTTTTGTATTGTTAGATCCAGAATTTTTTAATTTACCCCCAAGATTTCTTTCCTCAATTCTTGAACACAACAAAATATTCCTTAATCAAGAATAAAATGCAATCAATTCAAGTATTGAGAATACTCATCCTTAACACAAGAACTTGATGAAAATTCTTGAATTTCGTATTAAATTCATTGAATTTTTTGATTCAAAAATTCCCAACAATTTTCCCACTAACAATATCAATTACATGTTGTTAATTCGACTAATACTTCGACATTATTTGAGAATTTTTGTATTGTTAGGTCCAGAATTTTTTAATTCTCCGTCAAGATTTCTTCACTCAATTCTCGAACAAAAAACTAAAAATTCCTGATTCAAGAATGAAACAAAATTCAAGAATTAAAAATATTCACCCTCAACTCAAGAATTCCCAACAATCTCCTCTCACATTCACATCAATCATCTTAAAGTAGCTCTACCCTTCGGCCGGGCTACGCTGTACTTTTAGATATTTTCCGTTTATTAATTTTTCAACTGAATTGCATGGAAAAAATTTGAAAAAATTCATACCCAGTCAGTATTATCTAAATTAAATTTCGGAAAATATTGAATTTTTTTCAAACATTTCCCTCTTATAAATAAACAATAAAACTTGTTTGCAAAACGATGGATTATTTTGTATGAGGTGTCAAAAAAATTCTTGATTTTTTCTAATGAATCTAATGAAAAAACATTTAGATTTTAATCTTTGATTACAATGGAAATGTTGATTTTTACATAAGACACTGAGTTAAATCCTGATTTGTAAACATTTCTTCTTTGAAAAACCAAAATGATAATTAAATTGAGAAAAAAATTTGAATTCCGAATATAACCGAGTTTCCTGCAATTTTGTTGCAGTTTTCAATAATCTTTGAATTTATCGTAAGGGCAGAGCTACTTTAAACTGGTTGCAAGCATGAATTAAAAAATTAGTCCCCAAAGCAACCATCGGTTAACAACAACCAAAATACAGTAAAATGAATTCTCAATCCCTCCTCCAAGCACGTATAAAAATCCCAAGCACTTGCTGAGTTGCATTTCCAAGTACAAAAAAAGAGTTTATCAAAAATACAAGCGTTTTAGTCTTAATCCATGTGCTTACACTATAACTTTCACTAAAGTGGAAATGTCACTCGTGGTGAAGTCGAGTTGAGTCTGTTCTCCTTCTCGTGCTTCATAATAGCTTCACTCAGCTGGTGAACATAAGTGGACGACTTGTTTACCGTTTTCTCAGCTTCGTTCATCCCCACTGATATCTCGGTTATCTGGGGATTTCAAAAGGTTCTCATCAGGCCTAGAAGTCTTAAAGGGTTTTTAATAAACTTTTCAAGGACTTGGGAAGTTCCTCAGACACTTACGTACTGCTTGTACCCCAAATACCTGTGGTACTTTCGGTTTTTCGTGTAAATATCCTTAACTTGAATCATGAATACGACACACAATGTCATTGCCAGGAGAATTATCAAGGTATTTATATTCTGTAGATTCCTGAGAAGGATCATGATCCCCTTCGTTATTCACCTGACGAAGAAATTGCTGGAGAATCGGAGGATCATGATTTCTAGTCTAGATTTTTAAGTACAAAAACGCGTTCGAGGTTCGATTCTATTTTTGTTACTCTTGTCGATAAGAGAGAGATCTTGTAGGTCTCGATGCAATCGGCGCGCTGTTTAAAATAGGGATGTCCAAACATTTTGTAACACGTCATGTGGCCGTCATATTCCAATTTTTTTTTTGACATCACTGATTACGAATAATGAAATCGATTCGATTTCAATGAAAATTGAATATGATGTAGAAGTGTTCCCAACATGCTTTGAAATGTATGAATATATTTAATTATTTAAATATTTAATTATATTTAAACCTACATCGATGTAAGTCGGAAATCCTTTTAATGTTGAAAAAATCACGGACGAAAAAATTTCATTGAAAAACCTATCAAATTCAGTAGAAAATTCTATTGAATTTCTATTGAACTGTTCTGTTAGTTTTTGGGCGATTCTATTGAAATGTTCAATAGAAAATATTCAGTAGAAAAAGTAAATAGAATTCAATTTTTCTGTATAACTTATTCTATTGAGATATTTTCTATAGAATTTTCTCGGCTCAAATTTTCTAAGTTTTTTCGTTTGATTTTCTTGATGAGAAGAAAAGAAAAATAGCAAGAAAAAAAATTAGAAAATTCGAGTCGAGCAAATTCTATAGAAAATATATGAAAAGAATAAGTTATATAGAAAAATCGAATTCTGTTGACTTTTTTTATTGAATGTTTTCTATTGAACAAGTCAATAGAATCAGCGAAAAACTACTAGAAAGTTTAATAGAAATTCAATAGAATTTTCTAACGAATTCGCTAGGTTTTTCTATTAAATTTTTTTCGTGTGTGATTTCATTTAACAAGGGAAAAAATCATTCATCTGCTCTAAATAATTTGTTTTCTTCAGGAATTTCGGGAAATATGTTGTTCTAAAAACTACTATAATTTTTTAGACCCTTCAATTGATAAAGTCAAAGTTTTTTGAATTTTTCCGATTAGCCAGTTAATTGGAACTAGCGAACGGGCGCTTCGGGCGCTAGATTGTATTATATTATATTAATTTATTTTATTGTTTTCTTTCCAATTTTTCTTTGTGGTTAGATTAAATTAAATTTATTGGATTCTATTCCCCTTGTATTATACAAATTATGGAAACAGTTTTTCTCATTTTCAAATGAAGAGATATTTATGTTAAATAATATCAGTATAATATAATAATTCCTCTCAATGAAATCAGATCATGAAAATGAAATTTTTCGTTTTCATGCTCTGATTTCATTGAGAGAAAATGAGAAAAATGCAGGGAGAGATTATCAGCAAGAAAATAAAAATTTCGATTTTTCAATGTCTCCGGAAAGTTTTAAAATTGATATATTTTTTCAAATAATGAAGGAATACCCATCAATTCAATTTCTATCCTCACATTTTGATAGAATACATTAAAAAATAGCAAAGAATAAAAATCGGAGATGAAAAATTTTATCGGATTAATATAATGTAATTAAAGAAAAACGACGCACGGCGGAGACTCCCTCATAGGGTGACCAATCTAGGGTTAATAATTGCCTATTGTAAACTGAGAAAAGCGAAAAATTATAATTTGAAAAAACTTGATCAATAGAAGTCATATAATGATAGCTTTATCTAAATTTGTCGTATGATAAAAAAAAATAATGGTCATGTGCTGATAGTTTGAATATCACTAGTTCAAACTCAATGTGTGTGGAACTCAAGGTCTATCGACTACGATGAATAATTTACGGTTTAGATGGCAAACTGTTTATTGTCAATGTCATTGTGGTAATACTTTCGGAATTAAAATGCTTAAGTACATTCGTAATCATCTTCGAGGTGTATTATTCATTCCTGTTGGTATCAGTCATTGTTATGCCACCGTAGAGCGGTTCTCCGCGTCTCAGTGGGCTTCTCTCATCCTAAAATAAATAAAAGGAGTTTTTAATCTGGGAGAGTGATAGAAGAAATGAAATAGTGAGGAAGTACCAAAGGGAGATGAGTCGAGCTATGCTTTTGCAGATTATTCTGCAAATATCTTCGGGAAGACGAGGTTTAGAAGAAAACATTATGAGACTTTTTTGCAGAGAATTTTCTGAGCTACAAAAAATGTCTTTTGATTTTTTTCTTTCTCTAGACCTCATATTTTGAGTCATTTGCGGAATAAGCGGTTCGAGTGTTTTTTTTTGCATAATTTTTGTTTTACAATTTACTAAATTTTCTCGAAGGAAGATTTGCGATGAGGGGAGAAGGCGAGAAAAAAAGCTAGAGGAATTTCTTGCAGAGAATTTTGTGGGTTACAAAAATTTTTTCTGTTGTTTTGCTCTAGACTTTATATTTTTCGAATCATTCGCATAATAATAGGTTCGGGTATTGTTCTTGCATAATTTTTTTTCCAATTTATCACATTTTTTTAAGAGAGATGGGAGGGACAAATTGAAAAAAAGTGCCAGAGAAATCGTTTGTCGAACATTTTTCGCACTACAAAAAAGGTCGTCTGGTGTTTTAGGCTATTTTTTTTTCAATCAATTAGATCGTTGAAAGAAATCCCTCGCGGAGGAGCGTGATCTGGAAAAATGTCAAAAACCATTTTTTGTAGAGATTTTTGTGGTCAACAAAACAAATCTTCTGATGTTTTTCTCTAAATCTAATCGTATTAGGTGTACAAATTAATAAGGTGGTTTTTTTCATGAAAATCAGAGTTTATTATAAAAAAACAAAAAGACATTTAACGGTCGAAATATTCCCCATTATTTTCGATGACTTCACTCTACCTCACTGGCAACTGACGAATTCCTTCGCGAAAGAAACTTGGCGGTTTTTTGGCGAAGAATTAACTGAATTTTTGTTTGTAGATAATATCTTTCTTGAATCAGTCAAATGACGAGAATAAAATTTCTAGGAAAAAGACGGGATAGAGAAGATAGTTTGGTAGAGCATTTCAAGGAATCTTTACAGCTGATAATTCTCGAAATTTTCACACAAGAATGGATATAAAATTTTTTTGTAAATATATTCTTCTTTGAATGAAAAATCAATCATTGAAATGTGAAATTTCTAATAAAAGGAAGGAATGTGGAGAAAAGTCGTTTCTGCGCAGAATTTCTTGGGTTAAAAAGAAAGTCTTTTGATGTGTTTCTCTAAATTCAATAGTTTCAGAGATATTCGCAGGAGAATGCGTTCGTATTTTAGTCTTTTACAATTCTTTGTTTGAATTCATCAAATCCTTGAAATAAAATTTTCGAGGAGAGGAACGAGACGGGAGGAAGAACCTGTTTTGTAGAGAATTTGATGAGCTAGAAAAGAAGTCTCCTCATATTTCCCTTCACATCTACGTTTACAGATATTTGGAAAATAATCTGTGTAACGTACAATTTACACTTTAATTTACACATTTCTGTACAATTTGCTTTCCCATTTAAGGGCAGACCGCAATGAAATTTCGAAATTGCTGGTGTCTTCATCTATTATGCTGATAATTAATTTAATGAGTTTACTACTCCAATTTTAATGTGGAAAAATAATAAAACATTAGGTTTTGATTTTTTTATTGATAGAAAGAGTCTGTAGAGGAATAAATGTCCTAATGACGCCATTCTCAACAGATTGACTCGAAGTTTGGTTCAGACCTACGTAGTATGCACACAAACATAATTAAATTTGCATTTTTGGATGTTTCTATTTTTTGAGTTCTTTAAATTTCTGTCTGAAAATTGACTGAGGTGAAAAATTAGAACAATTAGTAATATTGAACTGCATCCTAAATCATTGAAGTTGGAATTTTTCCAGATTATTCTAATTATTTATTCAGAATATAGCTAGAAGAGTGATGAAGAAGACTGAAAAAATTAATACTAATTAATTAATTAATAATAATTAATATTTTAAAATTTTTCACCTGTTGCAATTTCAAGGAAAAAATTCCAAAAACCCAAAAAAAGATTTTCAAAAAGCCTCATTTAGTTATATTTATGCTTATATTCTGTGTGTTCAAACCAAACTCGAAGTCAATCGATTGAGAATTGCGGCAAGAGAACACTTGAAATTTTCATAAATGGAAAAAATCAAAACCTAATTTTTTATTATTTTGTTGAATTAAAACTGAAGTAGTAAACTTATTAGCACGATAAATAAAGGCCTCTGCAACTTTGAAATTTCTTCTCTTAACCCGTCAGTCAGCGCGTTATGAGAATCTCTCCCACAAAAATTTTGTAAGGTGTTGAAAACACCGTAAAATTGTAAATATTGAAAGGAACCATTTTTACATGCCTCAAGTAACTATTTCGCTTCCTTCTGGCGCAAGAAAATTTTCTTCAGAATGCGCCAATAAATTTATCGAAAATATTTGTATCGAAATAGATCGGGAGTCGTGAGAGATTCTCTCATCGGGCGCCTAAAGTCAGTGGGGAGGTGCGCTCCAGCAGCGGGAGGGGGGGGGGCTAGAGTGACACCACCAAAGCACCGACCTCTCTGTCTAGTTAAAGCGGTCCAGAAAAATTCCTCATAAAAATTCACTGAAAAATTTTTTTATGTAGAATTTTATAGACCACAAAACAATGCCAAGAGACATTTTTTGTAGTCCATAAACTTGGACATACATGACTTGTTTCATGTCTCTTAGCGTTTTTGTAGTCCCCCTAGTTTTAAAAATATTCCCCAAATAATTTGTTTGAGTGATCATCTGCCCAATTTATCATAAAAAACCAGTAAAATAATTCAAATGCATTCTCTGAGGATACGAAAAAAAATGATCAAACTATGATGTTTGTACAGAATTTTATGAATAACGAAAAAGTCTCCTGAAATATTCCTCGAAGTCGCCAGTTTCAAGAGCCTCTGCAAAAAAATGGTATCCGGTTAATTCATCCCATGACAATTCATCCCAAACAATTTCATCCCAAAACAAATTCATCCCGTGACAGTTTCATCCCATTTTTTTATTATTACTGTTTGGATGGAGAATACGCTGGACTGAAGCGCGTGACTTATCGGATTAATTTTCAAGTTTTGTACTGATTTTTTAAATTGATGCTGTGGTCTATTACTTGCGGCCTATCTGGCGAATGTTAGTTGAGATGGATAAGAATGATTTGACCGTTTTTTTGCAATGTTTCCTGTTAATCCGTTGATCGGTTGTGTAAACAATACTAGGAGGGAATCGTGAAGTATCTGATTGATTTTGATGTTGTGTTGAGTGCCTTTTTCTGTGAAAATAAAGTTAATATTTTTCTCTCCCTGAATTATCGTTGTCACCGTGAAGAATTCTATTGGAATTTGATGTTTGGGATGAAATTGTTGTGGAATTGATTTGTTTTGGGGTGAATCGTCCGGGATGAATTGGTTTGGAATGAGTAGCCTGGCAAAACAGTCCGATTATTTCCGACCAAGTGATAAAAAATGAATCGGCGTTAATGATGTTTCTGTCTTTGCCCGTTAAATTCCGATTGGCTGGTAGGTAGAGTTTGGAGTTTGAGAAAATTATGAGAATTAATAGGATCAAGGGTATGTGGCCGTTATCGTCCGATTACTTTCCAAAAAAGTGGTTGATAGATCTTATATTGCTCATATAAATTTTTCATATTTATTGCTCATTTAAATATTTATATGCGTAATATGAGATCTATCAACCACTTTTTTTGGAAAGTAATCGGACGATAACGGCTAATCGGACTATTTTACCAGGGTAGTCCAGGATGAATTCACCTAGAACCCAAAAGAAATCGTCAAAAAATTCTTGCCCCTACCACCTCACGAAGTTCAACGATAAAAACAATTATCTACAATCTTTCCATTCAAAGAATGCACTTGATTCTGTAAGATCTTTGGACTTCCTGCATGCAATCAACAAAAAACGTAATAAAAGGATGGGAATAGAAAGATAGTCATTACATGTTCGAAGTCAGTTTCTCATCAGAATTTATATACAAGAATTTATCAACGTTTGTTATCGTATCAAATCGTCGTACCACGACCGGATTTCGAAATACATTACAACGTGTTACATTTTTTTTAGTACAAAACTTCCAAGGCCTCGAGGCATAAAAATATAAATTCCACAGTACGATAATATTCGATCAACCCCAACTATACACATATCGATATCAAATATATAAGAATTATCTAAAAAAGTAATTTCCTTCCCTAGGGAAAATGAAAACAGTTGTGGTCATGAATCTCATTTAGAGATGCAAATGCGTCGCATGACCCGTTATATGATGGTCACAATTCCCTCCCCCCCAGACCGTCACAATTTTCCAAGAAAGAATGACATACATTTTACATCTGCATAGATGGAACTTCATATTTTTTTAGCAATGCTCATTAGACTTAATTTCGTATTAGCCTAATGCGCATTTTGAAATGAAAATGACCATTGTCATCTGTACAGATAAATTTTTTTTATTTAAAACCGTCACGATTTAGAAATTAGTTATGACCGTCATTATGCATCTACACAGATGGTTTGCCAACAATTTATTTGCAAATAATTTGTGACCATCCGTTGGAGTTGGAAAATTTGTGGCCCACAAAACTGTCATTTTGCATCTCCAAAATTATTTCCTCCCTAGGGAAAATGAAAACAGTTGTGGTCATGAACCTCATCTAGAGATGCAAATGCGTCACATGACCCGTTATATGACGGTCACAATTCCCCCCCCCCCAGACCGTCACAATTTTCCAAGAAAGAATGACATACATCTTTCATCTATATAGATGGAACTTCATATTTTCTTTATTAATTCTCATTAGAATTAATTTCGTATTCGAAAATCACGGCCATTTATCGTCTATACAGATAAACCTTTTTTTGTTTAAAACCATTACAATTCAGAAATTAGTTATGACCGTCATTATGCATCTACATAGATGGTTCGACAGCAATTTATTTACAAATAATTTGTGACGACCCGTTGGAGTTATAAAATTAGTGGCTCACGTGACTGTCACTTTGCATCTCAATTCTCATCTTTGCACGACAATCCATATTTATCCACCGTTAGTGCATTCCATAAAACAAATAATCAATAATAACTCGTGAATAAAACTATTCGTAACAATCTATTGATTAACAATAATCTGAAATAAATAGCTCTGCGTAAAAATAATCTAATACTACCAGCAAAGGTACAAAATAATACTAGTCTTTTGAACATCTCTCAAAGATGGTGCGCAGAAGATTAAAACCATAGCACGAGTAATTACATACAACAAGCACAAAAGACTCGTACGCATTGCCAGGAAATTAAAATCATATGTACAATAATACATGGAAAAAGGTCCAACTAAAACTTAAAACTATAAAAAAAAAATCACGATGAACACGTGGATTTCGTAGCTAGCGTGATTGGACAGTAATTGGATACGAAGAAACAGAAACGAGTGAAAAACGAAAAACGCAGACTTTTGGGTGGTATGAAAGCCAGTAAGCGTTAAGAATTATAAATAAAATTCAGATGTCCCCAAGATGATGATGGAATCAGCGACTGAATCGAGTGATGTCCCGAGGGGAAATGTCACCCCGTTGTCGGCTCGACATCAAACGCCGACGAACTCCACCAAGTTTCATGAAGTAATGAAAGACCAGACGTTTGCCATCAGTCGGAGGGGATTTATCAGTCTCACTTGTTGGTGGGCGAGGGTGTTGTTGTCCCGGAGACTGGGCTCGTCAGCGGGAACAGAGTCTAGGCGAAAGCCAAGAGCAACGTCACGGCGATTTTCGGTTTTTTGTTTTTGTGGAAGCGAGCAAATGTTTGAAAGGTTTTTTTTTAGTTATTAATTTTTTGTCTATTTGATGCGATCGGCTGTGCCGTTATTCACCTGCATGCCAGGCTCGACGTCGTAATCCAACGTCGTCATTTTCTCGGGGTGCGTTGTCGTGCCTATTGAGGGAGAGGTGGAGCGTCTCTCTTTGAAAAAATCCGCAACTGCGAAAACCTGAAAGCACAGTTGATGACTTTTTTAATGAAGCAGTGGAGATAACTGCCGATTTTTGGGACGCAGTGCTACTGTGAGTGGGGGGGAGTTGATTTGAGAGGGAGATTAGAATATATCGGAGTGGAGCGGTAGAAGTATACTGAGAAAAAAAATGACTTCTGCCAAGTAAATTTACTTGCCACCAGTAAATATATGTAAATATTTGCATTTGAAATGTGTGGATTTTCTTGTAGTTAGGAAATTTACTTGGCAAAGGTAATTTTATTTTCAGTGTAGCGAGGCGAGTAAGGGAAAACAGAGTTCTCGAAGAAGTCTTACTTGCGCGAAAAAACAAGTTTTTTTTAAGGCGCGGGTGTACTATCCTTTGAACGTTATCTCGATGTTTTTTTTTCATCTTTCGTCAGCTGAAATTGTCAATTAAGTCCTGCATCATGCAGAAGTTTTAAAAAATTATGAATGAATAATCAAAAAAAAGTTGAAAAAATTCTTAATTTTTTCAAAGAGCTTTTAATTTATATTGAGAATAAGTTGAATAATAAGAAATTGAAAAATGTGTTTGATTTACGGTGACAAATGGCGGCCTGTCACCCAATATCATCCAGGGGGAAGACTGGTTTCGTAAATCTTTTCCCACACTGCACAGAGACATTTATTACGGAAAAGGCTCTTTGAAAAAAGTTGTATTAGTTTGGAGAATTTTTTAATCACACTTTTATCACATAAAAATGGCAGATGACTACATACCACTGTTTTGAAATAGTATATTTCGTAACGAGTGCAAAAAAGTGTTTTTTGGCGAGTGGGAGCTTTATATCACGAGCCGAAGGCGAGTGATATAATCCCACGAGCTAAAAAACATTTTTTCACGAGTTACGAACAATATTTTTCATCACAATGTGGCGGAAATTGGACTTTTAGGCACGCGGAGCGTGCCGAAAAGTCCACTTTTCATCACAGCGTGATGAAAATTGAGATACCTAGCTGTCACTTCCCATGAGGAGTTTGTGTTTTGTTATCCACCATAGAAAATAACAGCTAATAGATAATTTTCCACAGCGAATCAGATATTTGTAATTTCCTCTTCTTTCAACTCATTCTGAATCTCAATTAAAAACGCTCTTTGAAAAAGTTGCGAATATTTTCCATTTTTTTTATCATTCTATTATAATTTTTAGGAATTTCTACATGATGTACCACTCAATTGACAATTTTGAATTACGAAAGATTAAAAAAAATCCAGATAACATTCGAAAGATAGTACACCCGGGCCTTAAGTTATCAAAAAAAGACTTTGAAAATTGTTGTCGCAAAAATAGATTTAGTAGTTCCAAAAAAATGTATTCTCTGTGCAAATAACAAATGTCATGTCTAGCATTACTTCTTCATTATTCGATATTCCTATACGTATTTTGCACTCGAAAAATATTCGTTTTTATATTCGTGTTTTACGAAAGAAGGGATAGGATTTTTTCATTTCGACTGTTCAATAATCACAGACAAGAATATTGTCTACTGATAAGGCATTCAGTTGATTGTCAAACACATGCATTCAAATCAAAATTAATAATTGGAAATACGAATTAAGTTAAGTGTAAATGTGTTTGGTTTACGTCTTGCAATCTGCTTTGTAAATTCTATTTGCACTCTACTCCTATCATGTCTGTTTGAGATTTTTATTTCAAACTAGTATCTGCTGGCACTGTAATAATAGTAGTGGTACTACTATTATTTATCATTTTGCTTCCGAATGGAAGCATTGTATTTGACCGATTTTCATATATTCTAATTTTGCCTGGAAATGATGTAGAATGTTATAAAACGTAAAGAAATGATGTTTAGAAAAACTGTCTGTACGTCTGTGTGTGACAGATTGAGTTTTCGTCGATTATTTTTTAGAAAAAATAACATTAATACCGTGAAATTCATCCATAAAAATCTGCAATTTTGCATTAAAATAGGTACTATCAATGCGCAATTTTTGAGCGCAATTTTTGAGCGCAATTTGAAGTCAATCGGTCCAGTAGTTTCTGAGATATAGTCATTTATCGAAATTTCGTTTTTCCTTAATATCTCGAGAAATATTCACCCGATCGATTTTTTTTTTTTTCAAAATATTTGTCTCGATTTTTTCTATCTCGATCACTCAAAATATGTATACCCGTTCATACTAAGTTTTCGAGATACTGCGGTTTTTCTGTTTTTTTTTACTTGATTATTATTGTTCATTTTTTCTATTTTTCTATTCCATTTATATTTACGTATGCCACGTGTACCCCCACTGCCATAAGGCGTTGTCCATGAAGGACAGTTATCAATAAATATAAATAAATAAATAAATAAATAATTGGAAATACGAATTATTACGAGATGTGACAAAATTTTATCAAACGAAAAATTCATTGCTGTCCGTTTACATCTAGTTAGTTTGTTAGAAATTGTTGGCAGGGGAAAGTATGACCGCCATTATGACACTAGAAAAATTGTGGTTACATGACGGTCATTTTTCTGACCTGACGGATTTTAAAGATTTTGGAATGTAAAAAAGTTTGAAAAGTTTTTTCATGAGAATCTTCCCCCCAAGTGTGAAATAAAAGCTTCACGAAATCTAGCTAATTCAATTAGTCCCACAATTTGTAGTTCACTGCCACATTCCACTGCTTATTCAAAGAAAAAATTCACCTGAGCCCATAAAAACGTAGCGAACTCGCCAAAAAAACGTAACGAATCCGCCAGACAGTTCTATTGAATGTCTATCCGAAATTATCTTGGTTTCTCGTCGATTCTTTTGAAAAATTCCACATGTTACTAGGCGTTTTAATGATAGAAATGTTCAATATTTACTTTTTTTTTAAATATCAGTAGAATTTTGTCATCGACATTTTCCATACGGTTGTCTCCACATAAATTTTGCAAGTTCTTTTGCTCCTCTTTCTTTGTCCCCTTAGAAATTCGAAGCGAGAGAAAGAAAGGAAATTCTATTAATACGAAATTTTCAGTAGAACTTCCACAGAAACCTAATAGAGTTTTCCAGTGAATTCGCTATGCTTTTCTATCAAATTTTTTCGTACGTAATGCTCTCAGGACACTCATATTGTCTCCGAAAATTTCGACATCTCAACATTTCAGAGATCCTCAGCAACCGGATCCCAAGCAAAATTGACTTATCTGGTTTCACCACTTCCCTGCTGGTTTATGCTAAATACCCCGTATTACTCTAATGAGCTGCATTCCTATAAGATAACTAATTAACGCGAATTGAAGCGACAACACGGTAAATTTGTTTCAATTAATTCCACAAAGTTATATCAGTTAAATGACTCAAAACGCATTCCATTCCATATCCCCGAAGAATTTAATTTTCCCCGCAAACGTGTTATTGCTGTCGTCAATAATTGATAATAAAAATGTTGAAAAATTTTACCATAATGAGAGCAGCCACAATTCCCAGTAGCTGTCCAACCAAAACGTCACTCCAATGATGTTTGTAATCAGAAACCCTAGACATAGCTGTGAACCACGCCATCCACAGGCACATCAATTGCAGCACATTTTTAAGAAGTTTACTTCCCTTCCACGTTATCCTCAGTTGCAGGTACAACTGTAAAAAAAAACATTAACAAGTTCATTAAGTCTTTTATCCGCATCCTCTCTAAAAGTGAACGAAATATGACACTGTAATTTTAGAGGCACTCACTGCGAGATAGACCATCGCGTAAGCCGAGAACGAGGAGTGGCCTGATGGAAATGACAGTCTGAAACATGAAAAAAAAAAATGTCAAAAAAATCGAGAGTAACTACCCAACTCAATTAGCTTAAATCTAATGTATCTAATGTATCTTCCTCGGGCCATTTCAAACACTCGAATCTTTCAATATTTTTTGCCCGCTCTAGAAACTCTAAAGATAGCCACCGAGTGATGAGAGGGAAAGGGAGAGCAAGTTTTTATTTCGATATTTTTTACTCGTTCAAACAGACCCTTCTACGGATAGTCGTGGTGAGGCCGTTAAAAGAGTGAATGGTTAAATGAGGGAAAAAAACATGAGAAATAGTCACATGGCTTTGCCCTTAAACGAAACACAAGTTTCGTGGGGAATAGCGGACGCCAAACTCACGATGGTGAATGAATTTACTGTTTTGGTATCAAACGGTTTACGATTAAATTTCAGAAGCTCATTGTGTTATTCATCAGTGGGGAAATCTGAATTTAGAATGTGAGATTATTTTTGTGATAGCGATTGTCTACTGGGGATTATCGTGGGTGAGGATGCTAGAGGGCTTTTTCGGGCTTTTACCATTGTTTGATACCATTATGACGGGAGTTGGATAATTCTACTGGGGTTCTATTAAGGATATCCAAGTACTTTGACTATTTTTTCTCCAGTGAAATGCTTCTCTACTTTTGTAGTCGAGCCTCACAGCTTTCATTTGAGCCGTATTTGATCCTAAGTTTACGGACATTTTACAACGATTTTATTATTTAAATTTTGCAGGTCTGAATTTGAATCTTAATATTGAACTGTTAGAAAACATTATAAAAATCTGAAGAAATTTTAGAAAGTTTATTTTTGGAGAAAGATTGATGAAATAATTAAAAAGTTGCAATTTTTGAAAATTATAAGCCTTTTCTATAAATAATTTATAAACAATCAATTTTCTACCATAAAAATCATTTGTTCGGAATCGTAACAAATTTATTCATATTCAAAATTTTACCATAAATCGATTTCATGCCTAAAGAAAGATTTCCGAAAGTTTAAACAATTTTAATTATTTATTTATAAACAACGAATGTTTAAAAAATCATAATTCTGTGCAAAATAAAATTTGAATGACACTGAATATTCATGATTTTTTTCAAATTTTTCTCACGCAATTTGATTGACAAATTTGATGATTGAAAATAGTCGAATCTATAGTATGGTCTGTACCAAACTGTAAAAGATACTTGAATATCCTTAAGGGGAGACTACTATGAGTTTTAAAAGTCGCGGGCTATTAGAATGCAATTTCTCATAAATTGAAGGTCGATTGTATATATTTAAAAATTAATAATTAGCGCAACAAAATCAATTGTTTATTACTGTTAAGATTAAGTTTAGGATGATGGCTGTGTGTATGTTCATGTTTTTATTATCAACTTGTTTATGAACTTTTTGAATTTTATACAATGTACAGTGTATATTGGTATCTGAAGGGGAACTGAGAAGAGCACAAAATATAAAAACCCGAGAGAGTGTACATACTGAAATAAATGAAAAACAAAACAATTTTTTATTGTTCGTTTGCCCCGTAGACGTGTAAAATGTGAAAAATAGTCCAGGGCCTCCAATTTTGGAACTGTGGAGGTCTCTTTTTTTTCAAAATTTTTGAAAAAAGTGTACAATAACAATTATGAATTAGTTTTTTGAAATTCAACTCCCAAACGGCTAATTTCGTTATTTTTTTAATGTAATCCGCACCATTCATGTAAAAAAGTCCGAAATATATTTCTGAAAGAATCGAGAATATATTTTAAATCTTTTAAGGACAATTTTTCTGGATATTTTACATGAATGACGCAAATTTTGATTGTAAACGAAGCGAAATTTCAACAAACTAATTTGTAATTCGGCTAATTTTTTTTATTTATTCATCTCTTTGGTGTTATAAACGTTTTCCTTTGTTTTACGCCTATGTATTCCTCCTCCTCTCCTTAATGATTGGTTAACATCAGACTAATTCGTAATTATTATTGCACAGATTTTTTCAAACATTTTGAAAAAAAAGAAACCTCTGTAGTTCAAAAACTGGAGGCCCTGGACTATTTTTAACATTTTAAGCGTGTGCAAGGCAAACAAACAATCAACAATTAATTTTTTTGCGCTAATTATATGTTTTTAGATATATATAATCGATCTTCAACGTATGAAAAATCTCACTCCAATCGTCCGCTACTTTTAAAACTCATAGTAGTCTCTCCTTAAAATTTTAGTGGTTTTTCACTATTTCTGTTTTAAGGCCCGGGTGGATGATCTCTCGAAATTTGATTCAAATAAACCATTTCTCTACAGAATTCTCAAACAAGTCTTACTCGTGCCAACAAAATCGTTTGTTAAAAATTATCAAAAAAGGATGTTTTTGTATCAAACATTCAAAGCGAGCGCCGAGATTGAAAATTTTTATTGCGAAAAATAGATGTTGTCTTTTCAAAAAAAATTTATTCTCTGTCAAAGGGCTAGTAGATTGTCATTTCGGCCATTCAATAATCACAGACAAAAAGTTCATTCTTAACCCTAGTCTGGTTACCGAAACGCGACCTTGCGACTTGGCCACCTCCGCGGGGATTCCCCGCCGTGTTATTCAGGTTTGAGCGTTGCCGAATTCACTCTACACTGCCCGGGCGCGTTTAGCGAGTTTCCGGCAACGTCGCGTCATGGGCAATTTCATTTAAGGAGAGACGGAATCCCTTTGTCTACATCAAATCTTAGAATTGTTTTCTCCTTCAATTATTCATTTCTATTTATGAAATTACTTTATCGACTCGATTATCGCATTGTTGAGTCACTGAAGTAGTTTAATGAATAAAAAATAATAATTGCAGGAGAAACACAATTCTAAAGATTTATATAAACGCAGGGGTTCCGTTTCCCTTTAACATGGGAAAAAATAATTCATCTGTTCGAAATAATTTGTTTTCTTTAAGAATTTTAGGAAATATGTTGTTCTAAAAACTACTATAATTTTTTAGACACTTCAATTGACAAAGTCAATTTTTTTTAAATTTATTCGTTTCCCTCATAGGGTGACCAATCTAGGGTTGAATGAAATATTAGGGTTAAAAATATTTCTTGATTTCCCTCTATAAAAGATATTTTCATCCTGGAAAGGCACCGTCTGGTGTGAATTATCCGGCTCTTGAGCCAAAAATTTCGTTGTTGTTGAAAGCAGAGCAATTATTCATATTTGAGACTTTCAAATTCCAACCAAGCATTTATTATTTTTTTTTGAATTTTCAACTAACGATTTTGTTGGCCCAAACAAGACTTGTTTGAAAACTTTGTCGTTTTTCTCGTAGTGTCGGTGTGTTCAACGACAAATTCCCGAGTGACTATTTCAGTAGTGAAGTGGTCAAACGGTTCAAGTCAATTCCATTCTAGCGCCAGTTTTCGATGAATATCCCAAATTGTGAAGGAGTTAGCAAAATTTTGCTGAAAATCTTTTCCGTAACGAAAAGTGAGGACTATCAGAAAAGATCTTACAAAAATTTCGCTATCTTTCTTAAATTCCATTCTAGCGCCAGTTCCCAATGAATATCTCAAATTTCAAAGGAGTTAGCAAAATTTTCCTAAAAATCTTTTCCGTAAAGAAAAGTGAAGCCTATCGAAAAAGATCTTACAAAAATTTCGCTTTCTTAAATTCCGAATTATTCAACAAAAACGCGACTGCACGGAGAGAAATGTTCAGTAAAAATTACGAAACTCACAATTCACTCACCGATTACGTAATCGACTCAGAAAATTTAAGTGACGGTATCGTAATTTTTCACAGGAGATTCAGATAAAAATTACGGAACGCGCCGGAAAAAGTCCGTGACAGTTCCGTAAAATTGTCTACAACTACATTTCGCTCCGGAATTACGGAAAAGATACGTAATTTTTACTGAATATTTCTCTCCGTGTGGGCGCTAAGTCGACTGAAACCGATTGATCACTTCAGTGGTAAAAGGAGATAAGTGTATTTAAAAAAAACATTTTTGCGTCAATCACAATAAACGACTAATTTTCAAACATTAATAATAATATTACGACTTTCGCAAAAAATGCACTTATCTCCTTTTAGCACATCGCTACTGCCTTCATTACTGATTTCGTTATAGTAGGAATGGCGATGAATCACGCACTGAGCCTGTATGCATCGAGAGAGACCCATTGAAAAGATCATAAACATAAATTGTATGATAATAGATAACTAGCATTGACCCAGTATCGCCACTCGAAACTCGCCGACTATTTTCAGCGGATTACACCTGATGACCTTCTCCACCACATCATTCCCATGCGCTGCACGTACACGAGGGGAATCTCGTGCGTGTTACGTAATAGCAGAGGATTTCAGTGATTCGCATCGCAAAGTGATTGCGGATGATTTTTAATTGCTCGCGATTTCATTCATTTATTCATTATGATAAGGCGCAGTTACCTGGCTTCTTTGAGCATTCTCACGGTTGAGGTGGTTGATGTACAGGTGAAATTAGTTATGTACACGTTTTGATACTGGGGAAGTGAACAGTCGATGTTTGGCTTGCATACGTCCATGAAATGTGGGCGTAATCGTCCAATCGTGTACTTGGCTATGTCGGTCGTCAGTTGCGATGCTACACCTCCAAATCCGAATAGGCCGATCTAGAATGGGGAAATTGAGGGTGAGTGGGTGGAGGACCGTTTGATCCTTATAACTACTCTCTTCCCGTTGAAAGATGACCGGGGCCGTAGGTATCTTGCAAGAAGCCCACGGAACATAAACATTCGGGAGGCGATAAAAGTGCCGAGAGTGGGGTTCGGCCTCGAGCGCTCGGAGCGCGAGGTATCTTATAGAGAGGTATCTTATACGAAGCCTCTACTGTATTGAGTTTTTCTATCCTGATATGTTGATGATGAAGGCAACAATAATTATTTGAATTAAAAAATGAATGATTTCACGAAATTTCCATATTTTAGGGTTGAATATCGCAGAAACTATGCACTATAAAGTTTTACCAAAAATTCACCATATTTCAAATTTATGAATCTACCACGGATTTATTTTTTAAGAATATAATGAGAACCATTTTTTCATTAGATGGAAAGATCGAGTTCATTATTTATGATCTCCTAAATTGTATCCCCGAGAATATGGGGGCAATCGTAAGAAATTATACAGGATCTGAGCACGCGGCTAAAATTAATTTCTCATGTGCAGAAAAATATTGCGTACTTCCTTGATTTTGTGCATAAACTTTTGAAAATTTTACCTAATATATTTCACGTGCACAACAAAAAAGGACATTGAGTGCATCTGTGAACGATTAAAAGACTGATGTGCACGTTTTATTACATTTTTACACTTGTGCACAAACCTAAATGTGTACAATTCTTATGCGCATGAATCATACCGTATCGTGGAGTGTAACGAGTAAAAATAAATTCAACAAGGCAAAAAAAAAATTATTCATCAAATTCTTTCCTCAATGATTTGTTGACCAATAGTCTCTCGTTTGACTACGGTGTTTCGACACAACGCGTCATTTCGGACACGCAGAAATGTAAATTATTTCACATTAATGTTTGACACTGACGATAATTTTCATATTGGGTATACAATTTTTATTTGCTTTTCCTGATTTTTTGAGATTTTTTTCTAGACTTTAATCTTCCCCTTGACCTCGCAGAGTTCATTTCCTCATAAAACTGCGTTATTCTTGCACTTCTAGATTAATTATTATCAATAGTACTAGACTGCTAGGTGAGCACAAACTCAAGCAAAATGTTTCTATTCCCATTGAATTTTGTTTAGCCTTTATTTCAGATTGTATTCTTTAAAATTCAAGTTATGTTTATATTACTTTAAGAGGCCATGTACGAGAAGCGACTTCAATTGTTAATAACTTAAAAAGAAAATCTAGAGAAAATTAAGAAAAATTCATAGATAATCAAACTATGATTATAAACATCATAGATGAAATCCAGATGAATTTCATCATTTACCTTTTCCGAACGGAACACCTTAAGCTCATGTGCTTGATCATGAAACACTCGGATTGTTTTGCAGTGTTGACTCAGTTTGTCAATGTTTGTTGAAGCAATAAACAGTGACAAGTAAATATTATCTCTTCTCAATCATCTTTGCATTTCGGAATAATTACAACTTCCGGAACGATTGGACTGGAAGTGAATTATAGAATTCGCGGGGCGAAATTCTTTTGAAAAATTTGAGTGCTAGTACGAAATCCTAGTGCTGTTGAGTATAATTTCTGGGGTATTCTGGAGAATTTTCATATGAATACGAACAAAATTAACGTGAAAACCAATAAAATGTATAATTTCATTTATATTTTTTTCCAGTGCCAGCACTAGAATTTTTCTTCGCGTAATGTACAATTTCTGGAATCATATATTCGTTGAATACGAAGTTCCTTCCTTTTGCAACTTTTTGTTCTACTAGAAGTGATCGCGCTGCAGCAGAGTTGATTGGCGAGGGGTGCAATATCGGTCAAGTCTTCTATCATTTCCATTCTACAATGTGTTAAAACGCTTTTCCTACATTACAGCATGTGTAATGTACATACTATGGCATAGAAAAGGTATATCACATAAAAAAATTTAATGTACAACAAACAAATTCACGTACAATGGAAAACAAAAAAAATGAAAATAAAAACAGATGGAAATAAAAATGTAGCTCTTCCATTAAAGAATTCTATTAAATTTCTTGTGAAAGTCTATAAGAATTTTATTGACATCATAAGTTTTTTTGTCGATTTCCTTTAATCTTTGCAGCCTTTCTACCAAATTTTTGGACCGATATTTTTCAATTGAAAAAATTCAATTGATTTTGAAATCCAATTTCTTGGGCGTTAATTTTCCAAGTTGTTTTGTATTATATTTTGTTTGTCATTTATTATAAAATCCCAAAACAAGACTTGGAAAATCGGGGCCTAAAAATCGTTTTGCAAAAATCGCGACAGAATAATTTATGTAGAACAATCGATCTATGCAAAAAAAAATCAGCAAAAAACGAATATTTGTTCCAATTAAAATCAGAATGAAATTCTACTACAGATTTGCAATAGTTTAAATAGGATATCAAGAGAAGTTCAATAGAAAACCAATAAAATGTTCCAGTGAGTGCGTTTGATTTCCGTTTCAATGTTTTCATACTTGTTGTTTTCATTCATGAGATACATTTCACAAAACAATACGTTTTTAAAAGTATTTTTAGCATGTTTAGCACATTTAAATTTTTTTATCGTTCTCGGGGGAGTAGATGGCCTTCAAACGAGTCTGATTTTTTTTACTAGAGGATTTTTTCTTTCAAGTCGAGATAATTTTAAGAAAAATCATGTAAATGAAGGAGTTATCAATGAAGCGATTGCGTTAAAAAACAAGGTCACATCGAAGGTCTAAACTAAATCCATGGTAGTTTATAACAAAAAATGTTGAGTGTGAATCGAGCATCAAGAAAATTCTATTGGATTTCTATTGAACTGCTATTAAAAATTCTACACAGAAATTTCGCAGATTTTCGACGCGTTTTTTGTAATATAGAAAATGTTCAGTGGAAAGTATTCTATAGAAGAAATCAATACAATTTGATCTCTTTGAAGAACTTATTCTACTGGAACTGTTCTATAGAAATTCCTCAACATAAATTGATCAAAATTTTTCCTCCCCATTTTTTTTTCTTAATAAAAAAATCAAGCACGTAAAAACTTGGAAGATTTATTGATTGATAAAATAGTTGAAAATTTGAATATTTGAATTGATGATACTTAAGTACTCAAAAAATTTCAGAGTGATGTTATCTAATTAAGGGCTACAATATTTAACCGTAATAAAATATTACAAATTGGGCAATCTCTGGTATAAACCTACGGAGTTTTCTCATATCAAATGATTGTCGTACAATAGATTATATTTTTTCCTGCCAACAGTTCGAATTCTTCTAGGGCTATTTCTAATGATCACGAAAAAAATTCAATTTTTGTGAAAGATATTAAATTTCCTTCTATCAAGTTGGTTAATTTGAATCTGTTCCACTCCATCAAATATTCTCACGTGAAATATATAGTTTTCCAGCAGACTCAATTTTTTTCTCGCCTTTGGCTCGGCCTGTAACCCTCACACTCGCCAGGAAGTATATTTTTTCATAAGTATCTTACGATATTTTATGATAATGATGAGAGAAAGGCGGTTCTTTGCGCGCGAAGCGTGCAAAAAATCCCCTTTTTCACTTGTATCATAAAATTATGTTCCACTGAAGAGATTTTTTGTCGTGTCGAATCAATTTACTTGTAGTCAAAAAACAAAGTTTCCAACAAAAACGATCATTTTTGTTGTAGTAATTCTTCTCGTGTAGTGCATATCTTTGTCCAATAAACATTTATAATTTCCATGAAACAAATGATAATTTCATGAGGAAAATACCATTTTCTTTCCGAAACCTGTGTTATTGGTAAAACTAAATAATTTCGAAGGGACAATTTTTTTGGGAAAAAAATCCTCGCCAATGTATTCTTTCTATGGTATAATCCTACGGAGTTTCCTCAGATCGAATGATTGTCGTACAATAGATTCATTCAGTAACAAAGTGGTAAAACGGTTTAAGTCTACTTATCTCCCAGTTGAGATTATGAGCAATATTTTCGAATCTGAGGGAGATAGCGAAATTTTCGTAATTACATTTGTTGTAGCTCTCAATCGGCTCTACAAAAAAGGTTATAGCAAAAATTTTACCATCTCCCTTAGATTTCTTTCTACAAAAAAGGTTATAGCAAAAATTTTACCATCTCCCTTAGATTTCGAGATATTCATTGAAAACTGATCAATACTCAAAATTGACTTGTACCGTTTTACCACTTCGCTACTGAATTTTTTCCTGCCAACAGTTCGAATTTTGCCAGAAGTATTTCACGTCACGAATTTAATTCAAGATGATCACGACAAAAATTTAATTTTTGTGAAACTAATTCCTCTCAAGTGAATCTGTTCCACTCCATCAAATATTCTCGCGTGAAACGCCGTTTTTCGGCGGAGCTATTGTTTCTCTCAGTGTAATCTTTTAAATTGTTCTAAACTGTTGACAAAATTTGCCACTTCCGTTACCTCAATCATGAGACAATGCTAAATAAAACCCCCGTCAAATTACTTGGAAAGACCTTGCACCTATCTTTCAAAGAAGAATTACGAAAGCCGACGACTAGAAATGAGATCCTCAATTTCCTCAAGCCGAAAAATATACAAAGAGTTTCGAAAGCCACTACATTTTATGGCGAACGTAAGAACTCGTCTGAACGGCTTAAATTGCACATTTCACAGTTTATTACCCGTTATTTAAGTAGAGACGGAAAAAAATTCGGACGAGGGCCTTGCAACACAACTCCTTTTGTTTGTGTATTTCCGCTCTTTCTGAGAATTCGAACTTTTCATTTACTGACGTGTACTTTCTTCCCCCCCCCCCCTCCCCTTTCTCATTCAACAATTTCACTCACCTTATTGTAGGCCAATGACACCCATGGAGGTATCACCTTGCCAAATAGCATAATCGACGATGGCCCATTGCTGTTTCTTGCGTAAAGATATTCACCAACTAGCATCTGAAATTAAAAAAATATTCTTCTTTTTAATTTTGTCGTCTTCAATAGCGCAAATGTGGGTTATCAAGGAATGGAGTTTGGCAAATCAATTAAATTGCGATGAGAAAAGAAAAAAAAATTGTGACCAATCAGCGTTATTCTAATTATTCTTTTAAGGGGAGACTATTGAGTTTTAAAATTCGCGGACTGTTGGAGGGAGATTTCTCATGCATTGAAGATAGTTTATACATGTCTAAAAACGAATAATTAGTGTAAAAAAATAATTGTTTATTGTTCGTTTGCCCCACAGACGCTTAAAATGTTGAAAATAGTCCAGGTCCTCCAATTTTTGAGCTACGGAGGTTTTTTTTTAAATTGTTGAAAGAATGTGTACAATAATTCAGTTAATTATTTGGTGAAGTAACAAACTAGTTAGTGAATTTCAGCAACTAGTTGTTGAAATTCACTAACTGATGGGTAATTTATTTTTTTCAACAGCTTTGGTGGATTTCAACAACTAGTTTATTATGTAGAAATTCACAAAAAAAATTCGAAGAGAATTAGAATTTTAGAGAGAAAAAATCCCGCACCGCCCAGCCGGGATTCCAACCCGGGTCTCCCAGTTTCGCGCCGAGCACTCTCTCAACTAAGCTCTACCGGGAACTACGGAAATTTTCTCTCCAAATTCGCTTCACAACACCGCCTGACCGCCTTTAGGCATTAAATCAATTCAAAGAGAATTAGAATTTGGAGAGAAAAAATCCCGTCCGCCCAGCTGGGATTCGAACCCGGGTCTCCCACTTACGCGAAAATTACTTGGTGAATTTCAACAACTAGTTTATTATGTAGAAATTCACAAAAAAAATTCAAAGAGAATTAGAATTTAGACAGAAAAAAATTTTCCGCACCGTCCAGCCGGGATTCCAACCCGGGTCTCCCAGTTTCGCGCCGAGCACTCTCTCAACTAAGCTACCGGGAACCACGAAATTTTTCTCTCCAAAATCGCTTCACAACACCGCCTAACCGCCTTTAGGCATTAAATCAATTCAAAGAGAATTCGAATTTGGAGAGAAAAAATCCCGTCCGCCCAGCTGGGATTCGAACCCGGGTCTCCCACTTACGCGAAAATTACTTGGTGAATTTCAACAACTAGGTTATTATGTAGAAATTCACCAAATAATTTTCTCCGTCTACCATCTTGATCGAGTCCGATCATGAGATTGATTGCATCATCGGTTGTTGAAAATCGTATATTACGATACGAATGAAAAATGTAGTTGTTGACAAGTGTGAGGGTTACAGGCCGAGCCGAAGGCGAGGTCTGTAATCACAGTCGTCAGGAAGTAATTTTTTTCACTTTTTTATATTTTACGATGCTGGTGAGAAAAAGACGGTTTTTACTGGTATCATAAAATTTATTTTGAACCCAATATTCTGGGAAGCGTCAAAAGTTTAGCGTTGGGGCAGTGTTGAAGTTAATGAATCATCGGAATCAAATAGCTAATTTATTAGCAAAAAATGTATTGACTATGTTGTGAGGATAACAATTTCCCACTTGTTTTATCTTCCCCAATGATCACATAAATTTCTCAATGGCATCATCAGTTTTTTTAACTCTACCTGACGATCTCCTGACGTTTTCCGAGTAATAAATTGAACGAATCAAGGTAAAAACTCTGAATAATGTCTACATGCCATTATACACTGAGAGAAAAACGACAAAATTCTCAAACAAGTCTTACTTGTGCCAAGAAAATAGTTTTTTGAAAATTATCAGAAAAGGATTTTTTTGTGCCAAACATGCAGAGAGTGCGTCGGAATGAAAAATTTTTGTGGCAAAAATAAATTTAGTAGTTCAAAAAAAATTGCATTCTCTGTACATGCAAAAAATGTCATTTCTAGCACTACTCCTTCGTTATTCGATACTCCCATGCGTATTTTGCTCCCGAAAAATCTTTGTTTTATGCGAAACAAAGGATAATAGTTTTTCGTTTCGACTGTCTAATAATCACAGACAAGAAATGAACCCTTAAATGAAACAATAATAATGATATGATAAAATATTTGTTGATAAATTTTCCTCTATATGAGATATTTTCATCCTGAAAAGGCACCGTGTCTGGTGTGAATTATCCACCTCTTGAGCCAAATATTTCATTGCTATCGAAAGCAGAACAATTATTCATTTTTGAGACTTTCAAATTCGAACCAAACAATGGGTTACGATGGAAAAATAATCAGTTCAAATGATGAAGAATTGCGTTTGTCGTAAACAAGAAACTGATCACCGCGAAAGTCTCGCATCAATGAGTATCCAACAATATGTTCCTCATAGACCAAATGAATATTTTATTGCATCTATGAATTC